TATAACTTCTGAAGCATCTGTAACTGCTGTATATAAAGGATTGATAACACAGTATGACATAGCTGTAATCATATTTAACAATATATGTATGATTATACGCATGAACAGATCCTGTTGTGTGTATTGAAAGTTGTTATTTACAGTTTATATACATGTACACATCATTCACAGGGAGGTTTAACACTGTTAATAGTATATTACAATTATGATTATGTATTTTTTATGTTAATTATTATTAATTCTATTCATTTATTTTCAATTTTTAACACTTTGAAGCTCCATGTATGTTTTCTGACGCCTAAAACCTTCATAAACAGTTTTCTTGGTTATCAGGGAGAGTGAGGAAGACATATTGTTTACAAATTACAAGTTGTATTGTCAAACATCTGTTTATACACCAGTTACAAATGCTTGTTGATGTTGATTAATGCATTAATAAGCACAGAAAAATTAAATTAAAGTGTGGTGAAAACCATGTACCTCTCGTACATGCTACTGTAAATAGAGGGTTTAAAGTGTTCCCACTTTTAAAGCAAACAAATGAAAAAAATCAGTGCGGTTGTACTTGGTAACGTACTCCTTTATCATAGTGAATATGGGCTGTATAATTTGTGTCTCCATTCCCATCTCTGCAGTGCAGCCTCATGTCAGGCAGACCTCACTGAGCATGCTCAGTTTTTTCTGTTTACACTGCTTTGAGGTGGGTTGAGGAGCAAAGAGGAATAAACTAATAGGTTTGAATTATTGAGTTAGGCCTTTTTAATATTAACTAGGGTTGTGTGAATCGTGATCTACAAAGTGTTGAATACATAAAGCTGTGATTCAGGCTCATGGGCACAAACTTTTATGAAGATATTGCAGTATGTGAAACAAATTTGGGTTTACAACAGTCCCATCGGATGCTTATCAAGATGTCTACTCTGCTCTGTCTCTAACCCACTCCTTGCCTTCCTCTTCCTCTCAGGTGTGTTGTGAAGATCATAGGTGAGATGGTTTTGTCGTTTCCGGCGGGAATCACGCGGCACTTTGCCAATAACCCATCCCCTGCCGTGCTAACCTTCAGCATAACCAACTACAGCCGACTGGAGCATGTGCTGCCTAACCCCCAGCTCCTCTGCTGGTAATGACATCGCTGTGAACTCACCACCTCACTCTTAGAAACATAAAATAAATGCACTGTTTTTCACTGGAGGCAGTGAAGAAGTGAAAAGATTACTGCATCCTCCTCACATGCGTAGTTAGAGTCTCAGTGCTTTACTGTGCAGCTCGGAAATTCCTCCTCATTTTTTATGTGTTAGGAGTGTTTATGATTTAACCAAACTTCATCAAAACCAAATCAAACACTCACTGTGCCTTATAATTTGTTTTAATAACATTAATGTTACATAAAGAGCATGTAAGATAAAAGCTAAACAGCATGTGGCATCATATGATCAAAAGAAGTCACTTTGTGTCAGTATGTGTAAATCAAACTCTTTATCAACTATATTTGTTTCCAATTCATTGTTCATAATAATCATTTTAATAATATTTGTGTCCACACAACATATCCTACTAACTTGAATCATACACAAGGAAAACTTGATGTGTTTGTGTGTAAATTAAAAGGAAGAAAGAACATAAAATGGCATAGAAACGAAGTAAAAGTTACAGCAAACATACATAATTTGTTGCTTTTCAAAACCAAAAACTAGCAAAGCTTTAGATGTACTTGTGCACGTATTTCTGTATTTTTAATAAAGATGTAAATGGGTAAAACTATCTGAGAAATGGCTCATAAAACATTCAGTATCCCATATAGCTCTCCCAGTTTGGTTTGTTTAGTGCTGACCAGAGAGTATGAGTAAACTTCAGTGTGATCATCTCTGACACTAATGCTGACTTCATACTGAGTCATTATGAGGTCACCCTTTCAGAGGTCAGCTTTTCTTTGTTTGTTTTTTTTATCGTCCTTGGTTTAAATAAATTAGTTCATGATTGCATCTGTTGTAAAATACCTAATAAATACCTATAAAGGCTCATTTGAATGTTAACAAGCTATAATAAATGAATTAACACTAGATGTTTATTGCCTCGGCTGAATAATTATTGCTGTCACTAAATTATGATTCAGCACTAATTTAAATTCATAGAATATCACCCTTTTACAGTAATGCAGGGTAACCTCTGCAAGAAGTCAATCAAATGTTGTTTTCGTAAACTTGCTTACTTAAACAAGTGTAAAGCATGCCCCCTAGTGGTGAATTGTTAAAATTAAAAATGCTGATCACAGCCTGTCAAACTCAAGCTGTGAAAGTCAATGTTGCCAAATTTGTTAAAGCCAAAATAAGTTTGTTTTTCTTGTCAAACATTCCTCATTGCACTCTTAATTTTTATTTCGACATGCTTCCCCCATCAGCGACACCACCACACAAGCCAAGGCCAATGCCAAGGACTTCTGGGTGAACATGCCAAACCTGATATCCCACTTAAAGAAGGTGGCAGAGCAGAAGCCACAGGCGACATACTACAACGTGGACATGCTCAAGTATCAGGTGAATTTGCCCTCTCCTCCTCAAGAGTTATGACTTGACTTCACTACGCTGAGAGCTACACAGCAACTTTGGCAAATTATTATTATTTATTTATGTTTATTTTCTTGCTTATCTGTGTGCAGGTATCGGCGGAGGGGCTCCAGTCGATTCCTCTGAATCTAGCGGTGAGCTGGAGATGTGAGCCCACCAGCACTGACCTGAGGATAGACTACAAATACAACGGGGAGGCCATGACGACGCCGATGGCCCTCAACAACGTCCAGTTCCTCGTCCCTGTCGACGGAGGGGTTTCAAAACTACAGGCTGTCTTACCTCCTGCTGCATGGTACAGTCTTCACTTTGTTATAACTCACAAATTTGTACATAGTATCTGCAAAAAATGTTTTTACTTTAAGATGGTTGGACTTTGACTTGTAATTGGTCACATCAGGAGCTTCCTAAATGGATTGTCTGTCCTCATGAATTTGACAGGAATGCTGAGCAGCAAAGAATCCTGTGGAAGATTCCTGATATCTCACAGAAATCTGAAAACGGAGGTACGTACAGTAAAATAAAAGTAACACATATCGCTTAGTAATATTCAAAATAGACTTGTGATGAATTCTGTTTATTGTATTGTGTTGAAATCTTATAATATTAGAAGCATAATCCTGGCTTTAAAATCATCTGATAGTACCTCCAGGGCTGGGATTGACATTTCTTTGTATCTATATCATCTATATCTATAGATTGTATCAGCCTGGAAGAGATTGAGTCACATTTCAGAGTTTGCCCTGTGTGTTCAAACATGACAGAATTAGTAATTGTTCTCATAAATGTACTGCTGTTGTTATATCAAAAACTGGAAAAGAGACGACCATAGATTGGAGAAATGAGGTGGAAAGAGACCGAGGTTAAAAAGAAAAGTCCGTACAGCCTACAGACATTCTTCTGAACCTACAGGCATTTAACACTGAACTAGGACCTGCACGAGGAGCCATAGATGCAATAAAGCAGGTTATGGAGAAAAAAAGCGTATAGCACATGATGCCCTTCAGAAAGAGATGGGTGCTTGTCAGCTTTGCTTGAAGTAAACAGCGCCCTCTTCTGTCTACAAATTGTTTCACAATTACTTGAGCAAACCTCTTGATTTGCTGTTTTATGACTGTTTTTTCAGCATGACGTCTCACTGCGCTGTGGCTTTGTGTGTGTGTGTTGAATGTTTCAAATCGGTGTCTGGTATAACAGCTACAGTGGAATATGTACACACGTTTTCAACTGATAAAGCCCAGTTTTATTTGTGCAATCTGACGTCATCTGATGTACTTTAAATTGTCAGTTGCCTGTTTCATATATTACAAAGCAGAGAGCCTCCAGGGCTCACCTGGTTTCCAGGACAAGGACAGTAAACTACATTATGGACTTATGTTTAAGATAGAAAACGTAACCAGGCTCAAATATGATCAGTTTAGCCTGGCTTCTTTTCAACAAGGATGATTTTTAAATGTAATACTCTACATCTGTATCGCTCGTATGATTTGTAATTTTCTTCTCAAATGGTTTTCATTCTGTGTTTTCTTGGAGTCTTTATCTAGCACATATTTTGACATTGAACAGGCTTTGATACAAAAGCCTGTTCCAGCAATGAGAGATTAAATATAGCAACGTCTGTCGTCATCCAGAGCTGCTATGTTCATCTTTCATACTGTTAAATCAGAGCCAACATTTAGTTTCCAAAGCTGTTTTCACTGGGATCTTTGAACTTGATTCCCTTGTGCACGTCACTGTCCATGAAGTCATTCCTCGTGGCTGACAGATGTCTTTCTAATTTTGCTGTCTTCCCTCAGGTGTGGGATCGTTGTTAGCACGCTTTCAGCTAACAGAAGGTCCCAGTAAACCGGCCCCACTGGCGGTGCAGTTCACCAGTGAGGGCAGCACCCTGTCGGGCTGTGACATTGAACTGGCTGGGCCAGGATACCGCTTCTCTCTCATCAAGAAGAGGTTTGCCGCAGGTCAGTTAAGCATTTTATGAACAACATATTAAAACCAAACACAAATGATCACAGCAACTAGCATTATCTCATCCAGTAGATCAATCCTTCATAAACCTGCAGTGATGTTTTAAATTGTTTGATCGTTTGACTCATTATTGTTTGATGTTAAATACCAATATAAGATGAGGAATATTTATTTATTTATTTATTTATTTATACTTTAAAATGCTTTGTGTAGGGGTAAATTATACATTATTTTTTATTTTGTTAGGAGAGGTATCTTTTAGTTTATTCCAACTAGTTAGAGGTCAGTCAACTGGTGTATGTATTTTGTTTTACAAATAGTAAACTAAGTCCAGCCACTTTTCTTATGTTATACTTGCAAAAAATGTTTCTGTGCTACAGATTGTGTGTATGGCTCAAATTATCTTTCTATACATTAGGTTAATTGTCATTACCTCCATTATTATGTAGAAATGCAGCTTGTGGTTACTGTAGTAACTGTCTCTGAGATTAAAGGTGGAGTCTGTGATCCTGGAGGAAGATCAGTGATATTTGAACCCAACATATAAACAAATACACCCTCCCATCAGTGCTCCTTCAGAAACTCTGGTAGTATTTCCACTGTTATTTATCTTTTATTACTACCATGGTGTAGCTCCATTTCTCATAGAAGAGGACATGGAAGACGGAAAGTAGCTGTCATAGTGTTGTGTAGCTTGATCCTAACCATTTTGGATCCCATTTACGGAGCCAGGGCTGTGTATAAACACCAGAGTTTTATCTCACCACACAGAGTAGTCAGCTAGCAGAGTGTAAGGTGGAATTTATACTTCTGCGTCGAATCTATGCCTCACCCTTTGCCAGAGCCTGACGTGCACCTCCTCAGAAATGTAACTACGCGTCGTGGCAACGTAAACCTCCTGCCTATTTTTCTAAGATGAAAACCATTTCCTTCAGTGGAACCTAAGCTTTTATTTACTTGAATATCACAGATGAAAAATAAATAAATTGTAAAGACATTAAAGCCTACACAAAAATAGCATTTTAAGTCTTGTGTGTGATTTATCCCTCAGGGATTTATACGTCAGGATTTATCCAGACTTCATGTGAGCAGAGGAAAACTGTGCTCGTCACTATGCTAATTTATACAATGTAAAATGCCATGGGCTTGTGATATAAACATTAGCATGTTGTACTTGTTTGGAAAACCGAATTTTGTAATATTACGTAATGTTGCTGTTGTCCCTGGCTTCATATGAGTAGGGGAAAAGTCCACTAGCCGCTAGGCTAATTTATACAATGTAAAATGCCATAGGCTTGTGCTAAAAACAATAGCATGTTGTATTTGTTTGGAAAACCGAATTTTGTAATATTATGTAATGTTGCTGTTGTCCCTGGCTTCATATGAGTAGGGGAAAAGTCTGCTAGCCAGTAGGCTAATTTATACAATGTAAAATGCCATAGGCTTGTGCTAAAAACAATAGCATGTTGTATTTGTTTGGAAAACCGAATTTTGTAATATTATTTAATGTTGCTGTTGTCCCTGGCTTCATATGAGTAGGGGAAAAGTCCGCTAGCCTTTAGGCTAATTTATACAATGTAAAATGCCGTAGGCTTGTGCTAAATACATTAGCATGTTTTATTTGTGGGGAAAATGTGTCCAGCAACAGTCAAGTGTTTGTCTGTGAATGCTGTGAGTTATAGTGAAGCTGATTTGTGTACTTGTGTTTGAAATTGTCTCTATTCAGCCCATGTTTAAAGTGTCTTTTAGGTGTTTTGAATCAACTAAACTTTACAGCACTTGACAGAAACCTTGCTGCCAACAAGTGTTTTGGAGGTGTAACTGCAGAGTAGGGCTGCGTGGTATATGCGGTAAACGGTAGAAATGATATAAATTTGGCCCACGGTAGAGATTTGCGCTCTACCGTCCTATCGTCGATGATGTCATCGCACCTGCCTCAGTTAGGGCTGGGCGGTATTCGCGGTGACGGTAACTTAACGCAGTAAACATGAGCCGCTGCTTTTGTGATTAACGTTACCTTCATACCGCAGTACTCCGGCTACGGCAGCAGAACGGGGCCCGGCGGCCAGCCGGCCTCACACACCTCCCTCACTACGTGATGGAGGTGGCCTGGCTGACCGCACCAAACCCAGGCCCGCAGGAGAAGGGGACCCGGGAGCCGCCGGCCCTCCCTCTTCCCTCTAACGTTTATACATACTATATAACGTTTTATACACAATAATAGANGCCCGGGAGCCGCCGGCCCTCCCTCTTCCCTCTAACGTTTATACATACTATATAACGTTTTATACACAATAATAGATGGATTAGCAACCGTTTTACTTCTGACAGTAGTTTCCATCCTAGACTTGTATGGCTTTTTAAATTGTTTTATTTAAGGTGTAAAAAAAAAAGAGAGAAGACAATACCGTGATATCATACCGTCACCACATCCCCAATATAATACCGTGATATTGATTTTAGGCCATACCGCCCAGCCCTACTGCAGAGTGACACAGACACACCATAGCACAAGTATAAATGCTCATAACTGCATAGGCCACGTGCGTAGGCTACAACGTAGGGTCTGCCGCACAAGTATAAATCCCCTTTAAGGAGATATTCGCCAGATTAGTTAAAAAGTTTACTGGATTAGAATCGCAGACTCCACCTTCAATAGTACATCTATAGAAGATCCAGAAATGACTGAAGCATAACCTAAACATTTCATCGTTGTTTTTCAGGAAAATACCTGGCCGACAATTAACCCATGCTACTGAGAACAGCACTGTTGTAAAAAAACAATCGCAGTGGACTGAGGTTGACATTGAGGACAGAGGACGAACCGACACCAGACGACAGACTTTCCGTAAACCTTTTTTGAACCCACACGACAGGTCCGCAGCCTACCCAGCAGTATTGTATAACTTGCATATAGCATCGTGGAAACTGTTTTAGGTCATGTAATTATCGTATTTGTATTCATTTCATGACATCTGTATTGCTGCAGTTAGACACCTGGGTTCTTCCTCCCTCTGAAGTCTGTGCCTCTGTCTCCATCCTCCTCTGGTCAATGTGTGGTGGTGTTGTTTTAAAGTTTCACTGCAGCTGCCTGACAGAAGACATGGACAGAAAGAGTCTGGGCCAGATTTGAACTCTTGGTGACGAGCTGTTTGTTGTCTAGAGTCCAGGAAGATTTGGCTGTAAAAACACCCATGAATAAGATCCTTGCAGTCAGACATTCACCTCAACCTCTGACAAAGTCTGATTTCCCAAAGTTAGACTAGTTTAAGTTGAAGCACTATATACGATTACCAGACAAAGAAATCAGCTACATAAAAAATCCTTCTGTCACAGTCTGAGCGCAAAGCCTGAGACAGCAGTCCTCACTGTCTCGCACTGACGGCAGCCATTTGCGCGTTTTGCCAGCAGGTGAACGCATTTACTGATGCATTTTGACTCATGTTGTCACAAGCAGTTGAATAAAAGATGTTTCATGCATCACCTACTGGTACTACAGGGTCACACAACTTTGGATCACATCCTTTTTAATATAAATGCACTGATCAGTCAATCAAACTGTTAATTTTATTTCTCTGGAAGATACAGTGGCGGAGAAGTTTTTAGCTAGTTAGGCAGCTGCAATGATAAATCAGTTTATTGGTTGCAAAATAAGAAAAATCTGTTTCCCGTCAGAACAAAAGAAGTGTACAAAGTGTCATTTTAAATCAATAATATATATCTTAAAGGGCGTTTGGTGTTTTCCTCGTATTGTCAGATAGCCTTTTCTGTTGTTCCCAGGACAGCAGTGATAGACTCCAGAGTACATGACAGCATTCTATTTTTATTTATTGATGACAATGATTTTGTTGTATAAAACGTGATTCTGTATACGAATAGAATTTGAATGGTATCACGCAACTCAGAACCCTTAAAGGTATAAATATTTGAACTCTCTTTTTTTGTTATCTGTGTAGTTGGGTAACCTGTGTACAGTATGAGGTATAATTTTTGAATTTATTTCAGATATAATTTTTTAACTCGAGTGCAACAGAAGATTTGAGCTATATATGGGTGGGGGGGGGTAATTTAAAGAAAAAAGATAAATATCTTCCTGGATGCTGTGTTATGCTTCGTGAAAGCAGTGTTAATGTAGAGTTAGTTATACCATGGGCAAGGTCCACACTTCAAAGAGTTAGTTTGACATTTTGGGAGATCTGTCTGTTCAACACGAGGCTGGAGCCAGGAGACAGTTAGCTTAGTATAAAGACTGGTAGCAGCTAGCCTGATTTTAACAAGATATAAAATGTTTGAAGATTTCTTAACATTTCCTGCAGCGCCACCATCCAGTCAAATATTACTTGTCCAATACATTTATGATCACCTGCAAAACTAAATGCTTCTCCATCAGGCTCAGCTTACTTTTGCTAGTTTGCAAATGTTAGCATGCTAACACGCTAATCTAAGATGGTGGACATGGTAAATATTATACCTGCTAAACTTTAGCATCGTTAGCAGTAGCATTTAGTTTGAGCCAGGCTAACAGTGTGTGTCCAGTCTGTTATGCTAAGCTAAGCTAACCGTCTCATAGCTCCAGCTAAACATTTGATATTCGCATCACGAAATCGTGTCTGCGTCCAAACTTCCCAAACTGTCAAACGTTTCCTTTTAATAAGGTCAAGACAAAAGCAATCAGTTTTTCTCAACAGCAGTGATGACGTTTGGTGACTGTGGTACCACCACTGGAACAGGATTTGTTTACTGGGACCAGCTTGTTTTTTGTTTTTTTGTTGTTTTTTTAATTCAGACCTCATCAGAAAACATTCTTATATTAATCCAGCATTCTCAGTTCCCACATTCAGCTATTTCCTCAACTTGGACCACATGTCTGAACTGCTTTCTGACCTGTTTCCATTCACCTCAGTGGTACCTAAACTCCCTGATTATATCATGAGCACATCCCCCGATCATCCAACCAGCGCTTGAATCCATGGCTTTATTTTGCATAATCGTAATGGTCTCTGTGAGATGACATGAGTTGAATGAGGTTGTGGAGCGAGGTTAAGTTGACCAAAATGCTTCTTCTTTTTTTTTTTTTCTTTTTTTTTTTGTATTTTATGTGTGTGTACCCCGGACAGTCAGTCCTCTGTTAAGGAGAATAAGCTGAATATTTTTAAAACGGATAAAAATGAAAAAATATTATATTGTTTAATGTGTAATAAACACTGTGCTGATGATGTTGAACTTCCTGAATGCTCTGACACTCGACATGAAGAACAAAAAGTGTGTGTGAAGCGTAGCCGAAGATCTCCGTACTGTACTGTGTGTCGGCATTCTGCTAAATGCAACCAATCAGAATCCTTTCAGAGCCATCGTAGAACCATGTTAGGCTGAATGTAGGACAAGCAGGTTATTAGCAACGTGTCAATACTCCTATTAAATGATAGCGTATTTTTAATTGGACAAAGTTTTAACATAGTTATTGGCTAATAAAAAGATCAGATTTGAGCTGTGCAGTTCAAATAAAAGACTTGTTTTTAACAGATTTATTCCTGTGCAGACTCCATGTGGATTACTCTGAGGTTGCATTTATTTTATCAATGCAAGGTGATGATGATTGGTGCCATTTAGCTCCCACATTAGTTTGGTAACATTTTGCTTTCAGTCATGTTAGTCCTTCATCTAGTTGGATCAACATGGTTGACAGGAAGCTGTAACCTTCTACGTGAATCTTAAAGCTCCAGCGCAACAGTCACTACAGCATTATCTACAGAGGCCCACCACAAACATCCCCCATCATGCATCTGTTTTAAATCACCACTACACTAAGTTTAAATGTCTTTCCATTTGGAAGTCATGTTGCAGTACAAAAGTCACTCTCAGTCTGTTTGCTGCATCATCCAGTTTGGGGGGGAAAAAAAGGAACAAAACTTTTCCAGATCTTCATCTCTGTGCTGAATTTGTCCTGCAGTAATTCATTATTGGATGCAGAGCATGCAGTAAAAGGTGGGGCATCTATGATGATAGGTAGTGCTGCATTGACGTGTTGTGCTGAGTGTCAGTTACCTGTATTAATGTTGAGAAGAGAGCAGGGAGTGTGTTTATGTGTGCTATAAGCCAGAATGCTTTTTGGTTCTGTACCGTTAACCTCAAACACATGTGCAAGCTGTTTGTACAGTACATAACAACGCTAAGATGAACTGAGAAACTTAGTTTGCTTCTTTCCAAAACCAATAAAAGTTATAACTGGAAGTTTCTGTTTATGGTTTTCTTTGTATTATTTAGTCTTTCTCATAATATGCCAAGAAGTAGCTGTATTATATACAGTCAGGTCCATAATTATTTGGACAATGATACAGTTGTCATCATTTTGGCTCTGTACACCACCACAATGGGTTTTAAATGAAACAATGAATATCTGCTTAAAGTGCAGACTCTCAGCTTTCATTTAAGGCTTTTTTCAAAAATGTAGTATGAATCATGTAGGAATGACAACCATTTCTTCACACAGTCCCCCAACTTTAAGGGCTCATAAGTATTTGGACAAACTAACATAATCATCAATTAAACAGTCAGTTTTAATACTTGGTTGCAAATCCTTTACAGTCAATGACTGCCTCAAGTGTTGGACACATAGGCATCACCAGATGCTGGGTTTCTTCCCTGGTGATGCTCTGCCAGCCCTTTACTGCAGCCGTCTGCACTTCCTGCTTGTGTTTTGGGTGTTTTGCCCTCAGTTTTGGCTTCAGCAAGAGAAACGCATGCTCAATTGGATTCAGGTCAGATGATATGACTTGGCCATTGCAGAACATTCCACTTCTTTGCCTTAAAAATGTCTTTGGTTGCTTTTGCAATATGCTTCAGGTCATTGTCCAACTGCACTGTGAAGCATCGTCCAATGAGTTTTGAAGCATTTGGTTGAATCTGAGCAGATAATGGTGCCCCAAACACTTCAGCTTTCATCCTGCTGCTCTTGTCAGCAGTCACATCATCAATAAATACAAGAGAACCAGTTCCACTGGCAGCCATACATGGCCATGACATAACAGTACCTCCACCATGCTTCACTGATGAGGTGGTGTGCTTTGGATCATGAGCAGTTCCTTCCCTTCTTCCTTCTCTTGTCTTCCCATCATTCTGGTAGTTGATCTTTGTTTTATCTGTCCATAGTATGCTGTTCCACAACTGTACAGGCTTTTTAGATGGTTTTTGACTAACTCTAATCTGGCCTTCCATTTTTAAGGCTAACCAATGGTTTGCATCTTGTGATAAACCCTCTGTATTTATTCTAGTGAAGTCTTGTCTTGCTGACGAGCAGCAGGATGAAAGCTGAAGTGTTTGGGGCACCATTATCTGCTCAGATTCAACCAAATGCTTCAAAACTCATTGGACGATGCTTCACAGTGCAGATGGACATTGACCTGAAGCATACTGCAAAAGCAACCAAAGACATTTTTAAGGCAAAGAAGTGGAATGTTCTGCAATGGTCAAGTCATATCATCTGACCTGAATCCAATTGAGCATGCGTTTCTCTTGCTGAAGCCAAAACTGAGGGCAAAACACAAGCAGGAAGTGCAGACGGCTACAGTAAAGGGCTGGCAGAGCATCACCAGGGAAGAAACCCAGCATCTGATGATGTCTATGTGTCCAACACTTCAGGCAGTCATTGACTGTAAAGGATTTGCAACCAAGTATTAAAACTGACTGTTTAATTGATGATTATGTTAGTTTGTCCAAATACTTATGAGCCCTTAAAGTCGGGGGACTGTGTGAAGAAATGGTTGTAATTCCTACACAGTTCATACTACATTTTTGAAAAAAGCCTTAAATGAAAGCTGAGAGTCTGCACTTTAAGCAGGTATTCATTGTTTCATTTAAAACCCATTGTGGTGGTGTACAGAGCCAAAATGATGACAACTGTATCATTGTCCAAATAATTATGGACCTGACTGTATTTCTTAGGCAGTAGCAGCATGGTCCATTAATGTGATCAAGACTGAAATATCTTGTGAATTGGATTGTCGTGATATTCATGGTCCCCAGAGGATGAATGTTAGTGACTGATGTGATCCACTGGATTTCATCTAGTACCACCAAGTCAAATTTTTAACTTTGTAAAATATCGGGCAAAATCAGCACCAACATTTTTACAGATATTCAAAGTTTTTAAAGCGATGTAGGCTATCACAACAACTCTGATGATCTGGCACCAGCATGAGGTAAGGTTTTGTGTCAACAACTGTTTGATGGATTCCCATAAAATTGCAAAGTACATCAATGTATCAGTCACCTCAGGATGAATTCTTATTTGTCCTATTCTTTGGATTCTGACCAAATACCTGCAAAACTGGGTGGCACAGTGATGCAGTGGTTAGCACCTTACAGCAAGAGGGTTCCTAGTTCGAACCTGGGGTGGCAGGTTTGATTCCTGAGGTGCTTGTTCTCCCCATGAGAGCGTGGATTTTCTCCAGATGCTCCGGTTTCCTCCCACAATCCAAAGACATGCAGGTTAATTGGTGACTCTAAACTGGCCGTAGTTGTGAATGTGAGCGTGAATGGTTGTCTGTCGTCAGCCCTGGGATACTCCACCCCGCCTCTCGCTGTGTCAGCGTAGAGCCTATGCCTACGGGATTTATACTTCTGCGTTGAATCGACGCCGTATCTACAGTGTAGGCTTTCCGTCGATGTAAAGTCTTCACCATACCCTTTGCCGTAGCCTGACTTTCATCTCCCCAAAAAAGGTAACTACACATTGTAGCTACACAGATTTCATTTCTATTCTTGTCAGCTGAAACCACAGATAAGAAACAATAGATTGTGAAGACAATAAAGCCTCCACAAAATAGCATTTTAAGTCTTGTGTGTGATTTATCCTGGCTTCATATGGGCAAAGGAAATATCTGCTTGTTGCTAGGCTAATTTATACAATGTAAAATGCCATAGGCTTGTGCTAATGTTGATGTCGTGATGATCTTATTGACGCTAGGTTTGCGCTAATATTGTTCAGTAGTGGTCAGGACTGTAGTTTTAAGAAACATGCTAGAGTGTAAGCCCCATGCAAGAACATTTATTTGACAAAAACAGCAAAATGATAGAATACAGCTCAAGTTTCCTCTAAATACAATAAAGCAGAGATGGAAATTGTACAAACCTTCAACCCTGTGGATTCTGGCTACACACAGGACACAAGCCCAGGCTGAGACATCTGTCCTCTCTGAGTGGGAAGTGATATAGTTCCTGAGTGATTTTACCTGAACTTAGCTTCCTCATTCTCAGAGGTTCATTTATATTATAATAAAATATATTTTTTAAATTTGCACATATCTTCCAGCTCGGGTTCAGAAACATGCTCACAGATGTGTTCCACATTCACATCAAAGTAATAACCAAAACAAATATCAAAAGCAATTAGGAAAACTGTAGAGCTTTATTGTACATACAATACATTGATCATATCAGGGTTTTGATTCAGATTTGGTTTCTACTAAGGCGAGACGGGAGAGAGCAGAGTCCTTTTGGAGGGAGAAGAAGAGAGAAGGGGGGGTTGTTCTCAGCAGAGGAAGGTGAGGTCGCTCTTCCTGCAGCCCACCTGGCAGCACACGGTGGTCAGTATGTTGTTGATATCCCGTCTGGTCAGCTCGGAGCCCGGGTTGCTGCTGCTCAGGCTCTCCAAACTGTTCTGCTCCCCTGTGGGCAAACCTGGAGCAACAAATCACATCAAATGCTAAAGAAACACTCGTAACATAAAATACATTGTTCTAATTCAGTCCAATAACAAGTTTTACACACTTTAACTCTTTTCAAAATAACTTGTTTGACATTTTTCTCCAACAGAATGATGGATGACCAACTGTTTTCAGATCAGTCTTTCTTGTGTAAATGAGGTTTATGTGCCCATTAAAAAAGGAAACTCTAAATGACTGTGCAGATTAACTCGGTGCTATTTGTCTTCTACAGTGTCACTTTTCTCTTTCTAATCAGCACAACTGATAGGCTAACTGGGTTTGTTTGTATGTGACAGCAAGAGAGAGAGGCGGCTGCCCAGGGAACAGACCGCCGCAGCATTTAATCATAATATGTGGGATCCTGAAGCCTAATAAGGTAAAACAGCAGACAGTGTCTCTGTGCTGGGGCACCTGTCTGCCTGCACACCCACTGCACTGCAGCCACTGAATTAATAGTGCACAGCAGTGGTTCTCAAATAGTGTGCTGTGATGCAAATCCAGGCATGCCGTGGGATTTTGTGACAACCGCACATTATTATTGCGATATTTAGCTGGGGCTATACAAAAAGTTATAAATGGATTTTTACTTGACTGTGTAAAAAGTCAAAAATGTAATTTAATTCAATAAACCTTCACTGGGAAGCTATTTGTCACCGTTCACACATGGGAATGATAAGTGTGTGGCACATCACATTATCTTACATTATTTCCCATTTAAATGGATGTGTTATTGGTGCTCTGATGTAATTTTGTAAAGTTTAAAATTAATTCTTGAATAATTTTGTCCAATATTTCCTGAGTAATAGTTGGTTGTCAATTGTTATTTGATATTAGTAAAGAAAAACAAACCTTGATGTCATGATAAGAGTGATAACACACCTTATAAAAGCTATTGTGCACAGATATAAATATAGGTGTGCCTTGAGATTTTGGCTTGTCCTTTGGTGTATCATGGGCACAAAAAGTTTGAAAACCACTGGTATACAGTATATTCCAGTGTGTACACAGAATCAGTAGAAAGCTGACGGTCACATTCAGAAACAATATGCGACTTTGCAGAAATACTCAGCCGTTAAGTGGGTTTAAATTTTGATGCCTGAGTCAGTGAAACTAACACCAAAATATAAATGGTGCTGAAAAAAAGGAGTTTTAGTCAGATAAATAAGATGAGATTTTATAAAGGGCAACTTTTGCAGAAAACCTAAAGAAATTAATAAACACAAGGATACAAACTGCAGGATTCATTTTTTTTTTTTTTTTTTAAAAATCTGCAAAATAAGCAGGGACATCCCACACTATCTTCATGTCTTCCTCACCCTTACCAGACTCAGTTGTAGAGTAGTTAAACCCTTAACAAGCAGTAGTAGTAGATCCTATGTTTGTTCACATCAACAGAACTGTAATTTAGAATCAAGTTGAGAACCCAAAGTTTAGGCAACAACTGGTTATGTCAGGCTGAATTTTGAGGAAATATTTCACAAAATAACTTTTCATAAAGAGCTAAAATAAGCTGATACAGAACATGTACATGAGACACGTACAGTGTGGAATAGGATCATTTAACAACCATATAGCTACTCAGTGTTAAGAGGTTTTTATTCAGGAAGTCTCATTTAGAGACTCATAAAACAGATAGTAATAAATAAAAAGTACAAACTAGCAGAAGCGCTGAGGTACATCTACCTTAAAGGTTTGAAGGATAAATTCAGTTTTACAAATTTGTCTCAAAACAAGTCAAGATTCATATGTGCATTTAACCAGTACTTTATCTTGCCATCATCATTTCTCCTGCTCACACTGATCCAATGTAAGTGATAAAAATGCACAATCTTAGTTTTGTGCAAAATATATTCCAGAAGTTCCAGTTTTTTTAGTGTGTAATTCCCTCTATGTGTCTCCTTGTGGAGCTGCAGCGGAGGGACAGTAGTAATATATCAGTTTGATTGGTCTAACTCAGACAGCTGAAGCCTCATATTTACTTCAGGATTTTGTTCCCCATCACTTACACTGAAAACAGACCTCTAAATGGTCAGTATGAACAGGAGCCATGATTACAGCTAGCAAAATTTGGGCTCTTGTGTATTGTTTTAGGACAGACTTGAAACAGTAAGCTAAATCTACACAGTGAAAGAAAATTTTTATTTTTTATTCTGCATTATGCAAGAAACTGTCTATAAGTTTCATCCTGAATCCAGGAGGAAAAAGGTACCTAAAAATACCACTGATCACCATGTCTGTGACAGATCTAAGAATAAAAGAAGTCGTCTCACCGTCCATGTCTGACTCACTGAGGAATCTCCTCCAACGAGAGCCTCCGCAGGTGTAAACAACAGCCCGCAGGAACTCTCGACCGCACAGCTTCACCGCCTTCACCTCTGCTCTCACCTGGACCACACACACCACTGCACACAACAGCAGAGGCAGAACCCCCAGAGCACGCATGCTGGATACCTGACAGAGGTTTATGTCTTTGTTCCTGAAACTACTTCAGCTGCTCTCTTTTCTGTCGTCTTGTCTGTCCTGTCTTCTGTCTTGATCCACGGCTTGCATCTCCCTGTGTTATATACCATCCACCTTTCCTCTCTTTAGCCCATCCCAATCACACTCACACACACACACACAGTCCTCACTCTGTCTGTCATTTTATGTTTCCGGTCATCTCCACCATCACCATTTTTAGCCGTCTAAGAGAGAGTGACGACCATCAACCTTTTACAACCTTCAGCTGACACTCACATCATCCTCCTCTGTGATAATGTGATTTGAGGCTGTGATTGCACTGACCTTCGCTGCACCGCATGCTTAATTAAGTGATGCAAAGTGATTCCCAAACAGATGTTTCGTCTGTTTACCACACTCTGATGGCCCGTTTGTCTTTGTCTTTACGAGCAGGTTGGGCCATACGAGAGGAAAAGAGTCAATGTTGACAGTCCCATCATGCAGGTCATTACGGTGCTGCTGATGGTGCGATGTGATACTCAGCGTGTCATTTCAGTCCCATCATTAACGGTGGAGGTCCCACTTAGGATGTCAATGAAATTATATTATGTGTAGTTGGATGTGCTGTGTGGTTGGCCCTATGGGAGCAGAAAACAAAGATATAAAAATAGAATGGACCAAATTTACTTCTACATCAAAGGTATTTTGTTGTTTTTCTTTTTCTTAATTAAAATAAAAAGTTGATTAATGACAAGTTCAACAGATTGATGGAGCCTAACCAAACCTCACTAAGAGACTGGGGAAACCTCTGTCAACAATATGGCACAGAGTCAGTAAACATCATGTTCCTCTAATGCTACATGTACAACCACCATATAAATAAAAGACAAGATTAAAGGTCCAGTGTGCAGGATTTATGCGGTTATATATGAGCAGAAATTACTATAGTAAGTAAGTATGTTATCTTCTTTGAATATCACCTGAAAATAAGAATCATTGTGCTTTTGTTACTTTAGAATTAACATTTATATCTACATACAGAGTGGGTCCTCGTCTATGGAGATCAGAATGTTGTAATAATGATGATAATAATAATACATTTTATTCAAAGGCACCTTTCAGGGCACTCAAGGTCACCTTACAGAACAAGTAACAGACAGTTAAATTTAAGAGGGGTAAAAGACACATCAATCAACATTGTATTTAGAGAATATATGACCAAGATAGGGCTGGGCGGTATGGCCTGAAATCAATATCACGGTATTATATTGGGGGGATGCAGTGACGGTATGATATTGCGGTATTGTCTTCTCTCTTTTTTTTACACCTTAAATAAAACAATTGAAAAAGCCATACAAGTCTTGGATGGAAACTATTTATTGCCAGAAGTAAAACGGTTGCTAATCCATCAATTATTGTGTATAAAACGTTATATAGTATATATAAACGTTAGAGGGAAGAGGGAGGGCCGGCGGCTCCCAGGCCCCCTTCTCCTGTGGGCCTGGGTTTGGTGGTCGGCCAGGCCACCTCCATCACGTAGTGAGGGAGGTGTGTGAGGCTGGCTGGCCGCCGGCCCCGTTCTGCCGCCGTAGCCGGAGTACTGCGGTATGAAGGTAACGTTAATCACAAAAGCAGCGGCTCATGTTTACTGCGTTAAGTTACCGTCACCGCGAATACCGCCCAGCCCTAACTGAGGCAGGTGCGATGACATCATCGACGATAGGACGGTAGAGCGCAAATCTCTACCGTGGGCCAAATTTATATCATTTCTACCGTCTACTGCATATACCATGCAGCCCTAGACCAAGAGGAAGGAGATTGATGATAAACTAGATGGGACCAAGGACAGAGCCTTGGGGAACACCTGAGGAGATGGGAGATGGTTGCATGTACCACCATGTTTCTACAGTAGCCCAGAATGGACAAATCAAAAACTGGCTCTGGATAGGGCCATTGGCATTTCTGTGGTGGCCACTGAAGTTAGCAGCCCCTCTGCAACAAGAAGCTCTTTTGAAACTGCTTTATTCAGTGTTTTACCAGTTTTAACCCTTTTACACATAGTGGTCACTACAGGGGACAGGTACTTAAAAGTCATTTTCTTGTCTATGCATGGGTTTTGATGCTATAGTTGCATAAAAGCCACTGCTACGGACCCTAGTGCATCTTATCATACACTGCCACTCACTGGCCAGGTGTTGTAAGTGCAACACAAATCTCTGGAAACCAAGATGGCCGATGGAACGCAAAAAATGTTGTGCAGCTTAGACATTTATCACAGTCCTACTATAATATGAGACCATGCAGGTAAATAAAATGTGTTAACATCAGGTAACATCTAAGAAGTTATACGGCTGTTAAGATTTCCAAGCACTGATTTCATGTAATTAATCATTTGTCCACCAAACTGGACATCATGTATTGCTAGCTATATTTTATATCTGCAGTGACTGTTTGGGCTGTAAATGAATTGATTTGTGTTATTAGAATGTAACTTGCAGTTTTTAACAATAACAATATTTTTGACAAGATTTTTGTGGAACATGTGCATTGAAAAAATATATATAGTTTAACGAGGAGGTGTATGTGGGGGATGAGGAGTCAAGAGGAAGGAGCTGACTGGTGGAGGGGGTATAAGAGGGAGGTGTAGAAAGAGAGATGGTGGAGGCTGAGGAGTCACAAGCAAGGTTCAGTGCTTTTGCACAGGCACTGAACAGTAGTGGTTTTAACAGCATTAAAAAATATATTTTTTATAGCACATAAAACATCAATTTTCTTATTTATATTTATATATAGTTCAAAAAGTGAACCTTGAGTTCGGGTTGTTTTGTCAGATTAAATGATCTTATTTAGTTCAGGTGAGGTTATCATGCAGTATCAGCAGACGCAGGTTTATTAATTTAGCCTGACAGTGCCTGTTTGATGCTGCTCTGGCTCCTGTTTTCTTTATGGTATCTTGGCAAAACCACAACGAGAGTCCAACCAGTGCTTTTTAATGTTTCATCAAATACTTGCATTTTCCACTGATTGTTCTTAATTTTTTCAGGAGAGCTAAAACACAATTCTGTGATATTTTGTCTGTATTCTCTTCACTGCTGTATGTTACATGTAAAGGATTTTGATGGAGATATAACAGCATTTCTGTTTCACCACCTTCCTCACATGCCTGGAGCTGATGAGCATTGATGGCTGTAATCAGAGCTACAACTTATTTTGTCCTAATGACCTCAATTTTGTCTGACCACCCTGATTACTGAATAAATGCCATTTGGAGCAACCAACTGAAAACAAGTGCTTCTGTTATATTAAATAAATAAATAACATCTAACTGACTTTGTTTGTTTGTGCTGTGTGTTGAGCCAAATCAGTGGTAACTGACTTGAATTCAAACAAGATCAGTGTTGGTGCAGTTTAACAGAGACATGACAGAAATGTGGCACAAAAATTAGCAGCAGCTGCAGTGAACCAGAAAAGGTTTCCTCCCATCGCTTTGGGAAGTTGTTAGCTTTTATCAAATTACAAAGCGGCTTCATGTCTTCAATGTCCCACCATAATGTCACGCCTGAATTTGAGAATTTAACTGACACTAAAACATGAAGGTCAGGGACTGTAAGTAAGGGCTATTTTTACATCAATGAATATCACAGAAGGTTATGTTTCATTGTACACAGGTTTAATGGCAATAGAGTTGAATTAAAATCCAATGTACGGGAGTAGAGAAGAGAGGAGCTGATCAAAATATTTTTAGACTGATTTGGACTTTTTATGCTCACCTCTCAGACTACATAAAGGCCAGCAATAACCATGTTCGGGGGGGTCGGTAGCGTAGTGGATAGTGCCGGCACCCCATGTACAGAGTCACTGCCTTGCTGCAGCAGCTGCAGGCTCGAATCCAGCTCGCGGCCCCTTGCTGCATGTCAGTCCCCACTCTCTCTGTCTCCCCATTTCACCTTCTGTCCTGTCAATAAAGGAAAAAAGCCAATCAAAATAATCTTTAAAAAAAACAAGAAATACCCAAAACAAAATCAAAGGATCCTACATTAAATTGATAACAAGTATCTGCAAAGAGCATTACACTGTTACCTTCTCCAGATATAGAATAAAAGGTTGCCAGATGGTGTCAAATAAGTTCACCTGCTCATTTCTAATATATCTGATCCTCTCCACCTCAAGAGTACTGACAACATCATCAAGCCACATATTCACATAAGGGATGTTTTTACCCCTCGACAACATCAGCAAGCATTTCTTAGCTGACATAAGGAAATAGTTGATAAGTCGTCTTTGAGCTGATGTGAAGTTGGTAAATGTCTCTGGAATATTAAAAGTAATAGTTTGAGGTTCAGTTCTTGAATCAAGAATGTCTGAAATTGTATGGAAATTTTATACACATTATAAAACAGCGTATTAGAGTAGCTTCATTAGACACTTGTCACACAGAGAAGAAACAGAGGGAAACATTTATTTTTCTTAGATTTAGAAATATGCAGCTGATGTACTATTTTAAATTACATTAATGGGCAATGTGTTGTTTTTTTATTAGAAAATAAAGCAAAACAAAAAAATCAAAAACGGGCAGACAGCCTATGAAGCCACCACCACTCAGTAAGTTCCTCTCAGGGGCCCGGCAATTTCTGTGGGTGGGCTTGCCTATCTTGTTGTGGAGGTTATTGCTTCATCCTGAGAAAAATAAGAGGAAAAAAATTTAACTTAACTTTATTAAAAGTTTTTTATTTACAGTTTATGTTCTCCTAAAAATGCTACAACATAAGTCAAAGACAGTAAAGGACTGGTCATTGTGGTAATGATGCAAATACATTATTTATCGGAAACAATGGTAAATAATCGATCAGGGAACCTTAAGATTACTTGAAGGAGGATAATTGCAGCATTTTTTACATGTCATCATTAATATGATGCCTGATAACAAATTTCACCATGAAATATTATTTGTTAGATAGATCTACATGAAGTAGCATTCACTTTTTATGTTCTGGTTGAAAAACTGACTTAACTGTGTTTTCCTCACCTCTGAAACCAAACTTGCACCTTTAATAATCTATGAAATCATATATAACCTGCCAGATTCATTTATTTATTTTACACTGAAATTCCCAGAAACCTTGGACTAAGTCTTTGTAACAGCAAATATTAAATATTCTGTACAAAACCAAATGGGAAAATGCAACATTTACTGATAAGATCTGTCCTAATGAGATTGTTTGTATCTCAAGGAGACATTCAGTCGTCTGTTTCTCTGAGAACCAAATCTTACAACAACAAGAGGCTCTAGATAAATGGATGAAACAGGCGCAAACCTAATTGGCTTGGGAATACATCTGTGTGTGTGTGTGTGTGTGTGTGTGTATGCCTCTTCAATCAATCTGTTAGCTGCAGACTGAACGATGTCCCCCCACGGTGTCCACCTGAAGGGAGACGAGTCAGAGAGACAGTGTGTTTGCTGTGTGGGCTGATGGTCATGTGTCTGTGTGTCATCGACTGACTGAGGGAGTAATGGTTTCAAATTGCTAACATAAAATGCTATAAAGCCCGCAAAAGTGCACTGACTGGACTGATGTACAGTATAATGTCAACAAAAGGCAAAGATTACATGTGATAGTATAGTGAAGTCAATAAAAACTCAGTCAGTCACACCACAACAGTGTATACCCTACATATGCTGTGTTTGGTTTCAACAAAAGTAACCTTTATAGGGACTTCTCTTTCTACCAAACAATGTAAGCAAAGGTTATCAAACGAATGTAATGTACCTCCTCTTTGTCTCCAATTTTATAGCCAATAAATACCCATATTTGTTTTGTATGTTTTGCACCATGTTACATTTAATATACACCTCCATCAGAGACAATGTTGTTATGTCTATGTCCAACTGTATCTTAGCCCACAGCCTCCCTTCCTTAGCAGCTTTGCTTCATTACACTCTCCCACACAGATGTCTTGAGATGATTGGGCTCATTTGTCTGTCACTGTCCTCTTCCAAGATAATGTTTGCCCTTGTGGCAAATAATAAAGATGTTATCGTCACGCCAGGTCTGTAGTCAAACTCACCACAGGCCTGAAGCCCACTGCCAGAAGGTCCAGCCAGAGAGTCATCATCTCAGTGACGTCATCAACTTTTGGATCAACAGGAAACACTCATTTTATGTGGAGCTGACTCGCTTTATTTTTCAGTCTTATGCCATCCAATACAACTGCTTTTTTTTTTTTTTTAAATGTATTTTTGGTACTCAATGGTGTAATGTCATGAAGTAATAACATTTCACTACAGTGCTTGAGTATTTTTTTTTTTTTGGAAGTATCTGTACATTATTTGAGTTTTATATTTCTGTCATCTTTAATTTTCACTCCACTTCATGTCCTACTTTTACTCCAATACATTTACCCTAAGCATCTTCTTTTTCAGCAATCTATTTATTAAGTTTTCAACATTATGTTTTCAACATTATTCAAAAAGAAAAGAACATATAAAATACAAAATGTATGAATGTTTACAAAGTCCTGCAATGTCTTTAAAATAACTACATACATAGTGACAAGCTGTATTAGATAATTGAAAAAAATATAGCACGCGCGCGCACACACACACGTAGACTATATACAGAAATAAATAAATAGGCACACAAACGACAAGAAGAAATAAAAATAATAATAATGATGTTGAATTAAAAGGAAAAGACTAAGAATAATTTAATTAACATTGGGGGTTCTATATATGACAGACACCATAACAAGTTGTTCATTGCATAATGTATATTACATTTATTTTGTACACATCAAATTTAATTTTTTTGCAGAGGTTATAATTATGCTTCCCCTGCATACAAGATAAACCCTTGCCCCTAAGATAGGCTTATATCTTACAAATGGGCCCCAGATACATTGAAACCATTCTTGTTCATCTTTGATTGTGTATGTATTTTCTTTTTTTTTTCAAAGGAAAACACATAAGACATTTCCCTAAGCTGATGCCTAATGCTTGGTCTCTCTTGGAAAAAAATTGTTCTTTAAATCCTATGAGGTTTTGTTTTTCTTTAAGTGTAATGTAGGCTCCTTTTTTTAAGGTAGTGTACATGTTAAAAAAGAATAAACTGAATTCTTAAAATTCTGAACACTCGCTTTTTTATTAACAGAATTTACTTTTGTTTTCAATACTTAAGTAAATTTAATATTACGATTTACTGACATGACATACAGTTAATACAGCTAATATCAGATACTTTAAGACTTTACTAAAGTAATATCCTACTAGATATCTGCACTTTTACTATGGCTTTAAGGTATATCCACCACTGTTGGTACTTTATTATCACAGGTGTTAGTTCAATCATGTACCCTATGAAAAATGCTGGGATGAATTTAACCCAGTTTAGGTTGTTTCTGCAACCTAACGCAGAATATTGAGTTTATTGTACAACCTAACATGCTGGGTCAAAGCAACCCTGTGCTGTGTAAGTCCATATTTGGCCCAGCACTAACCAAGCTAAGATGGGTTATACAATCAATCCAATTCTGTGAACTGATTGTACAAACTCTTTCCTGGGTTAACATGACCCACAGTTTAATAATGTGTTTTAAAAAACTATAATCGTGTTTATACAATTTTTTCCTATTTTTAATTCATATATTCATTAAATTACTGCCCACCACAGTGTCACATATTTTGACTTTTTCCTGTGGCATTGTGGTCATGGTGATGGTGTTTTACTGGACTGCACTGTATTCAGATGTGTTTCTAATATTCTCATGTATGTGTCAGGGAAGGAAAACAATTTAACACCACCTTAAACGTCCATCAGAGGGTCGCCATCCCGCTCCCTGCCTCCGGCTCTGCGTCGCTACTCCTCCACACCTGCAGGTGGCGGTGTGACACTAACGCGACGAGCCTCTGGTCCTGTCGCTGAAGAAGACAGCATGGTGCGGGGACCTTCAATGTTGTGCAGTCTGTCAACCTCTTAGAAATGAAAGTCTTTATACATATCTTCAGATAATCTACTCGGAACAGTCAGACAGTAGTTGCCGCTCTCAAAGTGAGTCTTGTTTGCTTGTTCTGCGTACGTAGATACATCGTTGTGTGCTAACTAAGGAAGCTAACCTCAGCTAGCTTAAGTGCTAAACTGTCAGGGTTTGGTTAACATGTCTCTGTGGACTGTCGCTGTTGTGGACACCTTCTATCTGTAGCATCTATACTTTCAACCAAACCTCTGCATTCGTGTAATACAGCTGCAGCTTATTCCAAAGATTAAATAGATACATATAAAGGAAATTCTGAGTTGTGACGACCTTAACTTCACCAATAGATCATGTGTATTTGTGTCAGTGATGGAAGAAGCACTCAGATCCTTTTACTCAGCTGTAGTTCTCCACTTTAAAAATATGTTATAAGTGAAAGGCATTGAGAATACTGCCTATATAAAAGTGCATTAGTATTATTAGCAGGTTGTATAAAAGGTTAAAGTACACATTGTGTTGTCTATAGTGTATAAAGTAGATATGTCCCTCTGAAATCATGAAGTAGATTAATATTCACATGTCAATACTAGATGTATTTTCTATAGTCCATGTCCATTTAAAAACTTGGTATTTGTAAGCATGCATTGTCATCTTACTTTGGGATGGACTACTCTTGTTATCAATGAAGCTGTCTTTATCTAATGTTCATATATTATGTCTACACCTGACTGTAACTGACGATCCACTCACACTGCACTGTATGTGTTTGCAGTTCTTTATGAATCCATGTTTGTGGTTTGTCTTTTTTGTTTTCGTTTGTGAGTTAGTTTCTTTGTCTGCTGCCTGTCTGTCTGTCTGTTGACGCACTTGTATTTGTATTTCTATCATTTTATGATTACTTACTTATTCTGTAATTCCTCTGTTGTTTTGTTGTGATTGTGATCAGTTTTGGGAAGATGGCACATCTCAAGGGGTTTTAACATAATACAGAAAGTTGAACGCAAAATAGAAAAAAGTAAAGTGGTTGTGCCTCAGAATTGTATTTAAGGAAAGTACTTAAATAAACATAGTTATACTTATATTGCCATCTTTAAGAAAGCCTTTAGGCAGCAGCTAAGAAAAAGACATTAAGGATATTTTATATATTGTCTCATTTCGATCACAGGCCCCTGAATTGAAATTGTATCATGGCAGACTTTGTGATATGAGCAAATATCATGTTGTTATTATTTTCATTATTTACTAATCTGTTGAATTTTTTTTTTATCCGAAAACTGAGAAAATGCTCATTACAGTTTCTCTAAGCCCAAGATGATGGCCTCAAAATGTCTTGTTTTGTCTTACCAAAACTGTAAATATGATTAAAATGATTAATCAGTAATCTTGATAATATACTCGCTGTTGATTAGCTAATAGTTCCATTGCCAACCAATTTGTCCCCTCTTGTAGGTCTGGACATACCATGGAGCCCATAATGAATCAGATTTGGCCGAGAGTCTTCCAGCAGCTCCACAGAACCTCAGTACTTCCCCGCAGGAACCATTCAGGATGTGCTGAGCATGCTAATGTCCCTGCCTCCACCAACTCCAAACGTATAAAGCCCACACTCCTGGTGTCCCGCCTCTACCAGCCCTCAAACCTGCGTGATATGGGACAGGACAGCCGGCTGCAAGGAGAGATGACTTGTAAGAGCCAAAGGCTCATGCAGAAGGCCGGGCTCATCCATCCGTCAAATCCTGGTTGTTACTACTACCTTCCTGCCACTGTCCGCTCCATGGAGAAGCTGGTGAGACTAGTTTTTGTTAAAGAAATTATAAATGGTAAATCTAGTTGTGTTATGTCCACAAACAAATGTTTTTAGAAAAATAAAGAAAAGTCTGTCCCCTCCAATAGACAAGGTTGACTGTAAATGTTCTCATTTTGGTCTGAAACATGTAATAACTACTGTTTTAAATCAACAGGTGAGAGTGATTGACCAAGAGATGCAGGGGATTGGCGGGCAGAAGCTGGACATGCCCAGTTTGTGCTCAGCTGATCTTTGGAAGACCAGTGAGCGCTGGGACCTGATGGGAAAGGAGCTGTTCCGCCTGAAAGATCGTCACGGAGCTGACTACTGCTTGGGTCCAACACACGAGGAGGCAGTGACAACTCTAGTCGCTCACCAGGCGACACTCTCCTACAGACAACTCCCTCTGCTTCTCTATCAGGTAGCCTTTAATCCTGTTGCCTGCAGTATATTTGTTGTAATAAGCTGCATTTTTTTACATCATGATTTTTTTTTTTTTTTTTTAACAGATCACCCGCAAATTCAGAGATGAACCAAAGCCAAAGTTTGGTCTGCTTCGAGGGAGGGAGTTTTACATGAAGGACATGTACTCATTTGATGTGAGTGAAGAAGCAGCTTACGAGACCTATGAATCTGTGTGCCAGGCGTACACCAGGCTCTTCGCCCGGCTGGGTCTGCGATGCGTTCAGGTGCAGGCAGACACAGGAAATATCGGCGGTAAACTCTCCCACGAGTTTCAGCTGCCAGCCGACATCGGTGAGGACCGGCTACTGGTTTGTGGGAACTGCTCCTTCTCTGCTAACGTAGAGACCATGTCATCAGACAGAACTGACTGCCCACAGTGTAAAACTGGCACACTGGTAGAGTCAAAGGGTGTAGAGGTCGGCCACACCTTTTACCTGGGTAAAAAATACTCTCACATATTCAATGCCACCTTCAGCAATGCCCAGAACAAGCCTAGTATATCAGAGATGGGTTGCTATGGTCTTGGGGTTACCCGTATTCTTGCCGCAGCCATCGAGGTGTTGTCAACAGAAGAGGGGATCCGTTGGCCAGGCCTTCTCGCCCCTTACCAGGTGTGTGTTTTACCCCCAAAGAAGGGCAGTAAGGTGGATGAGGCAGCAGTCTTAGCTGAGGAGCTGGTTCACACTTTGGGAGACACTCTGCCACGTTTAAGAGGTGAGGTTGTTCTTGATGACCGTGCGCAGATGACCATTGGGAAGAGGCTGAAGGATGCAGGCAGACTGGGCTACCCATATGTCATTGTAGTAGGACAGGGAGCTCTGGAGGAAACACCCAGGTTTGAGGTGATCTGTCAGCAGACAGGTGAGACAATTTTTCTCAGTAAAGATGGACTGTTGGATCTTCTGGGAAGAGTGGAAACTGTATGAAAAACAACTCTCAATGTGGAAATAAAGTTTTTATATTTGTGTGCATGATTTAATCAAAGAGGTGGTGGGAAGAGAACACAAAAGCCTTGTGTGTTTTGTTTTGTCTAAAAGGACTGCAAGATCTGTTTTTGTTTTGCAAAGTTATAAAGACTATGACTTACTTGAATTTGCTTGATAATGGACCTCAGGATATTAGATAGCATTTGGTTACCATGATGTGATACACAATTAATTTTTGTGGCTTTTCATGTTCCAGTACAAATAAAAATGAGGTGAGGTGAACAGAAAAAAATGACCATTTTTTGTCATGTTATAATGTGCAATAGTAACATATAACTGACCTCTTAGTCAATGCTGGCATTTGGTAAATACTGTAAATACAACCATGTCCTTTAAAGTTAGGGAAAAGCAAAAACTACATACATAACCATTTCCACTGAAAGGAGTTATTCAGATTTTTAAGCAAAAGTAGTATTACCACAGTATGTAAGCACTGAATACTTCACAAAAGTAGTGGTCAAAAAGTTAAATATGCAAGTTAGCCACACTGAAGAGAGTCATTATGTGTAATTTATTTATTCTGATGAATTATATTGTTGCTGTTAAAAGTCACTTTCAACTGTTTACATTTTGCATCATATTGTCTTCAAAAAAATAAAAAATAAAAATACATGAGTAACTGTCAAGTAAATCAAGTAGGCTAAAAAGTACTTGTGTTAAGTATCATACCATAAAAATAAAGTATAATTATGTTTAAATGTATTGATTTACTTTCTACCACTTCCTCGTCATATTATCATTTACAGTGGTGGAAGCATTTAAATCTCAAGCGAAATGCCAATATCCTCATATTAAAATACTGCAGTAAAAGTCCTGCATTCAAAATTTTGCATGTAAAAAAAAATAGAACCATAAAAGCAAGATTATCTCGTTATGGAGATTTGATCATTTAAGAGACATCTTTTATAAATTAAAAAGCAGGAAGTTATTGTCACTGGTTTAAGTTATAGTTTATTTTCTGTTGTGTCGTTAAGTTTGTAACAATATATGGTATTTAATACAATAATCATTAGTTTTGTATGAAAAATATTATATTAAAAAAATAACCTGCAAAGTTACTAGTCAATTTAGCTGTTTTGTGTGGTGGAAAAAATGTCTTTTATTTGCATATTTATTACATTTGAACAATAAAGAAGCATAAAACTAAAATCCTCAAGTGAAGTCCAATTACCTTTCAATCTCACTTAAAGTAAACCTAAGTAAATGTAATTAATCATGTTTCATCTCTGGCAGATTGATGACAATTTATAATATTTATCATTTATTTGTAGGTCGGCGGCGGCGGAACAAAGGTATCGATACTGGGTTTCCGCACGGATCGTTATTCACGTAGCACCGCCCGTGCACATGTGTAAACAAGGAGTTGGGTGACTTGAAGAAGCGATAGCGTTATTACAACTAACGTGACCTCATGTCACACTGTATATAAGATTCATAAACAGCATAACAGCGCTTCATAAACACATCTGGATCCAAAGATGGCGGCCCCGCAGGCTCAACACGACAGTGACGATGGCATGGACGAGTTCATGGACAAATTCAAGACTGAGAGATATAAAAACGCCTTCAGTGAGAAAAACTGGGAGGAGGTAACGCCAGCATGTAGAAACTATCGGTTATCATCATTAGAAAAGAAAGATACTTATTCGTCAATGAGTATAAGTATGTTAGCTAGCAAGCTAACTGCTAACTTCATAGCAGTGATGGAAAGCAACCAAATACATTTACTTAAGTACTGTAACAGTTACTTATGTGCACATTTGAGGTACTTATACTTAACTTAAGTATTGTCATTTGATTTCCATCTGAATTTCTGCCGACGTCACTCTATACTCTGCTTAACTTAAGACACAAATATTGTACTTTTAATTTCACTACATTTATTTGATACCTTTAACATTATACATTTCACATTCAGATTAATACAACACCAAGTCCAATAAAGGTCTGGAAACGGTGTAAAATGTAAATAAAAACAGAATGCAATGATTTGCAAACCATTTTCGGCCTTTATTCAGTTGAATACAGTACAAAGACAAGATATTTAATATTCAAACTGATCAACTTTATTGTCTTTAGTTTATATACACTCATTCTGAATTTTATACCTACAACACATTCTAATAAACTGGGACAGGGGCATGTTTATCACTGTGTTACATCACCTTTACACTCTTGATAGCCCAGGATACTAATAGTTGAAGTTTTGAAAGTGAAATTCTTTCCCATTCCTGCTTGATAGAAGACTTGCCCAACAGTTCAGGCTCTCCGTTGTTGTATTTTGCACCTGCACTCTTTTACGATGAAGCCACGCTGTTGTAACACCTGCAGAATGTGGCTTGGCATTGTGTTGCCTGAATAAGCAGGGATGTACCTGAAAAAGACGTCATCTGGATGGTAGCATATGTTACTTCAACGCCTGTGTGTATCTTTCAGCATTCATAAGACCTTCACAGATGTGGAAGTTACCAAAAATGCCATGGGCACTAACACACCCTTATACCATCACAGATGCTGGCTTTGAACTTTGCGCAGGTTACAAGAAAGAGGTAAAGGACAATCTGGATGGTCCTTTACCTCTTTAGCCCGGATGACACGACCACCATGATTTCCAAAAACAATCTGAAATGTGGATTCGTCAGACTGCTGAGAAGTCTGCGGTGTTTCTGGATGTTGTTGATTTAGGACTTTTGCTTTGCATGGTAGAGTCTTAACTTGGATTTGTAGATGCAGCAATGATGTGTTTACCGACAGTAGTTTTCCAAGGTGTTCCCCAGCCCATGTAGTACTATCCTTTATGCAATCAAGTCAGTTTTTAATGCAGTGCAGCCTGAGAGGTCAAAGGTCACGGTCATTCAGTGCAGAAATTTTCTGAATCTTTTGATATTGAGCAGTGTTTCACATAGTGATCATCCTTGCTTGGGAACAGCTGAGCCTTCTGAGGATGTCCCTTTCATATCCAGTCATGATACTTTAATCTGTTACTAAGTAACCTGTTTACCTGTGAAACGTTCCCGACAGGTCTTTTTTTTTTACATTTCACAACTTCCCCAGTCTTTTGTTGCACCTGTCCCAACTTTAAAGGAACATGTTTCAGGTATCAAATGCTTTTATGCACTAAAAACAATTAAGTATGTCAGTTTAAACACCCAATATCTTGTCTTTCTACTGGATTCAATTGAATATAAGTCAAGAACAATTCGCAGATAATTGCATTCTGCTTTTATTTAAGTAAAAGATTTGAGCACTTCCTTCACCACAGCTTCATAGAGATAAACTTTCTCTCCATCTGCAGTGATCCCTCTGTTTTTGTCTCATGCAGGAGTTTGATAACATACCAATGTTCATGAAAAAAGCCCCTGAAGAGATTGATCCAAAGAAACACCCTGAGCTGGCTTGTCTGCAGGCCATCATCCACGATGAAGATAGACCCCCAGAAGGTACGTCGACCACGGCTTTAAGTCCCTCAAGCTTTTGAAACACCTGTTTGAGAATGGCCTTTGAAGACTTGAGAATCTTTTAATGATTCGGTTCATTCCTCCCCAGAGCAGGCAAAGAGCCTTAAAGATGAGGGAAATGTGTTTTTCAAAGAGAAGGACTACAAGAAGGCCGTAGTTTGCTACACAGCGGGTTTGCAGAAGAAATGTGGAGACCAGGACCTCGACACTGTCCTCCTCACCAACCGGGCGGCAGCACACTTCCACCTGGGTAAAGATCTCTTATTTACACACCCTGACAGATGCGTGAAGGAATATGATTGTATGCTTATGAATAATAAGGTGGTTTACAAAGATTAAGTTCAAGTTTTTTTATTGTCAGGTAGGTGAATTACAGGACTATTAGAGAATATTTTTCCCATGTAAAAACATCTGCATGGGTTTCTTGCTTAAATTTATCCTAATGTTTCTGGTTTATATTGACACAGGTAACATGCGCTCTGCGTTGAATGATGCTACGGCTGCAAAGAAGATCAGACCGGACCACCTTAAAGCCTTGATCAGGGGTATGTAACATAAGCATAGGATATCCAAATGAATGTAGTTAAAAATTCTTATATTTCAGTTGTATAATAGTGAATAATAATCATAAAGCTCAGTTCAGGCTGAAGGTTCATGATGAGACAAGTTGATGCTGGCGAATATGACCAGCTGAGTTGCAGGTGACGTCATCAGCCGGCTTGAGTCGGGCTCAGACCGGCCAGTTCACACTGCTGCAACTTTTCAACGCAACATTTTAAAATGGTTTCATCTCGTCGCAAATCTTTGGTCTTACCTGAGCTTATGAAAGCAAAAGCAAAAAAAAAAAGCCCCTGCTTAAAATAATGGCAGAAACAAACGTGTGTATGTTGTGTGTGTGTTTCTGCAGGTGCTCAGAGTTGTATAGAGCTGCGTAACTTTGCAGAGGCCATCCAGTGGTGTGATGAGGGGCTCAAGGCTCATCCCACTGACAAGAAGCTGCAGGAGCTGAGAGCAGCCGCAGATAAACACAAGGTACAATCTGTTCTGAGTTCAGCTGATTTTTGAGGGTGGAGGTTTTTTTAGTTTCAGTTAAGCATAAAGCCCTGTTTATTTGTCGCACCTCAGAGAGCAGCAGACAGAGACGCCCGGAAGGCCAAGCTCAAAGAAAAAAAGCTGCATGGTGAGAAAGAAGCTCTTCTGGCTGCGATAAAGGTAAACATGCTATTTGTTTTGTATGGTAAGCACTTGTGTTGGAAAATTATTATTCTATACCCGAAACAATCAGTCAAATCTGACACTAATAATATCTCCAGCAAGACTGTTTTTTAATGATTATCAGATACATTTTTGTGTGTTTTCCACAGGATCGAGGCATCAAGCTCCTCCAGTCTGCGAAGCCTTGTCAGCGTGGTTCAGACAGCGAGGATGAGGATGAGGGCTCTTCAGCAGCGATGTCACAGCTGAACCTGGACGGCCTCAGCTCCCAGGAGGCCACGGGGGCTCAGGTCTTCCTGGACGAGCAGGGCTCTCTGCACTGGCCTGTGCTCTTCCTCTATCCTGAACACCAGCAGACTGACTTCATCTCCGCGTTCTGTGAGAACAACTGGTAAACTGTGGCCCTGAATTTATCTTGGTCTGTTGTGTTTCTGTGGGATACCCCATACACCAACCTCTCTCCAATTCATTTAAATTAAGTTAAATAAGTTAGGAGTTTTAAGTGTTTTTAATCAAAAACGCAGTTATAATATTGTGTCTGTATCTTTTGATTTGTCTCAGTTTCATAGACCACCTGGCGGTCATGTTCGGAGAAGAACTTCCACCTTGGGACGTGGACAGAAAATACCATCCACAGAATTTGCAGGTTTGTGTGTTTCCCTGAAAGTTATTGGTCTCTCATGTAGGGCTGTAGTCAATGAGAGTTAGAAAAATGTTCGTCTTTGGGTAAAACACTGTGGTGGTAAGTGTTAACTTTTTACCCTACCATCCAGTCACAGCGGAGGAGAGTCAGGACAAAGAGCCCACCACACAGGCTTTCACATCCTACATGTACAACTGCTGCACAATTCCTCACCCACGACATATCATGAACCCACATAGTCCGGCGGGTCCATCCTCTCCCCCTACGTGCCTCAGTCTTCCCTTCATCCAGAGAAAGTACTCTGTGTTTTTACTCTCACTGAGCTTCTGTAACCAGATACACCTGACGCGATTTAGCCAAAAAAAAAAAAGCTGCTCCTCTGAAGCGCTATGGCGCTCCCAGCTGGGCGTTTTGAAGAATAGCACCTTATGTTTTCAGCTTGGTAAAAACACTTTGGTTGACACATGAAAGTAACACTGCAACTGGCTGACCAATGAGAATTAAGCTGCACAACATCATGTCCATCAACCAACCAGAAGGTGTCAGCTCTACACTCATGACTGGTGCAGCAGGTTAAACAAAAGACACTAAGATTATAATTTTGTGTATTTTGTCTTGTGACTTTTCACCAAAGGAATCAGGAATAATTCACACCGCCATCCTCAATAAGTCGACATAATGTGTTATTTGTGTTGTTTTGTTCTGCGTCCTTAAACTTATGAAATAATCTTTCTCCTACCAACTATAGCAGCGCTGCATTGTCGCCACATTGTGATGAACTGAGTGTGATGTGTAATTACTTTGTTCAGTCAAACAAGTGTCATATTTCATTACTAAATACTGCCACATATCAATAAATAAAGTGACCTACTTTACTTTAATCTCAATTAACCTCATATGACCCCTTTTCACTTTCTAGCTTTACTTTGAAGATGAGGAGAAGGAGACACTCTACCAAGTTAACCCAGAGACGCCACTTTTAAAGGTGTTGCAGCATAAAAGGTACGTCCATTAATATGAAGTCTGTTTTTCATTAAGTGTGATTTTATTCTGATTTATACCACAAAGAATTCTTCATATTGGTGAGCAGGAAACTGTTCTTTACTTTCTTCTTCACTTTTACTTTTCAATTTTGGGTATTTCCCTATATAAACTTCCTTGACACTCCCTGTCATTAACCTCCTTCACACTCATTTACTGACTCACTGTCTTCTCTGTTCTTTTGTCAGGTTTTTTGTCAAGGCAGGCACTCCCAGCTTCATCGTTCTTGTAAAGGGATCGCCTTTCTGGAAGCAGTTTTTAACAGGAAGGAAAATACGAGGATTGTGAAAACATCGGCTGTAAAATCTTTGGACGAAATTCTCTTTTCAACCCCAGAGACTTCGCCCTTAAGAAAGAGACAGTGGAGAATATGAAAGACTCCCGTGGATAAGAGCAGGACACATTTGTATCACTATAAATGAATATAAAACAAATGAGATCTCTAAAAGTAATGCATATGGATTCTTGTTGTTTCTGTCTGTACAAATATAAATTGCAGATTGAAAACAGTGAAAATACACTTTATTGAAGTGTTTAATTTGATAAATGAGATATAAACAAAATGACCAAACTTAAACAGGACAAAACATGTAGACCAAGAGACGACACCGCCTAGAAACCAACCAACTTTATCCTTGACATTCAAAGACTAATCAGTCTCTTCTTTAACATACCAGTATGTCTGCTACAAGTCTCAGCATCAGTCAGCAACAACTAACAATTAATTTGGACGTCATAAGAAAACTTCCTCAATCTTCAAAGCTCTATTGACAAACAATTAAGAAGTGAAAGCAAGAGACGTGACCATGTTTTGCTTTTAGAAGGAAGTTTTGAGCAGAGCTGCTTATTGACAGCTGTACTTTGAATTTTTTTCCAACTGTTTCGGGTCATCTAATATGATTACAGACACAGACCTTCACAAGACAAATCAGACTAAAGAGGAGCCACAGAGCTCAGTATGCTGCCCTGATGCCGTGTGGTTGGTTCACAAAAACCTGGTCTCTGTGGTTCACAAAAGCATGATTTGGGTGTCCATGAGCCAACATCACTGGAGGAGGCTGTACTTGTACGTGTATGGCGTTTTGATTAAACATATTGATGACAGTGGGAGGTTTACTGCGATGTATTAACTCCCGCTGCATCTGGCACCAGGAGCACCAGGAGCAGAAACAGGAAATCTGGACGTCCAGGCAGAGAGAACCCTGCAGAGAACCAAAGGAAAAAATACAGAAAGCTGTAAATTCAACAGCCCTTGACTTTTATTAAACTTGTCATGTGAAATCAAATATACGTCAGCTTTACATGCATCATACCTTGATACCATATTTGTGTCGCATACCAGCCCGTATAGAAAGGACTGCTGGAGGTACACACAGAGGTATCCCACAGACTGCTGATAGAACGGCAGGGCTGCATAGGTCACACAACGGGAAACAAGGGTTCTCTCCAAATTTTCCTGCCACTGTGCAGGCCAGGCAAGGGCAGCACCAGAAACCATAGCAACCTTAAAACACAAAGATCCACCAACAGAGTGGGAGAAACATTTAACTGACTTGATAAAGAAGACCTTACAGATGAGACAAAATAAGGACTTTAATCCCAAAAAATTACAAATTTGTCAAAGTTGTGGTATCCTTACAAGTATTGCAGTCCTCAAAGCAGTCACACAGACCAGTGTTCCAGTTTGTCAAGGATTGTGCTGGGGCCCCGGCTACTGCCATCAGATGTTAGACTTAATGCAGAGGCAGTGAACAGTGAACCTGTTAACATGGAAATCAGAGCACAGCAAAAAAGATTACAGAAAGCTCATATCTAGGAACATGAGATATGGAGACTTGCATTGTGTCTTAATCTTTTTTTTTTTTTTTTTTTACCATTAATTCAATAGGAGCCTATGTCCTAAAATATCATTCTTGCACCACATTTCATTTATCCTCTGTATTAGATGATCTGATTAGATTTAGGAGCAGCTTGTTGCAAAATTTGTTGAACTCAGACCGTCCATCTTCTTGATTTGACTAACGCATTGCCATCCTTAGTAGAACAGTTAATGGGGAAACAAATCTCTTCCCCCTTTTACTTGGAAAACCTCTGAATATGATGTGCAGACTGTAAAAGCCTGGAGCATTGGCTGTGTCATTCAGCTGATATCATATGCAAAAAAGTAGCTACAACATAAGGTATATTACTAAATGATAGCAAGTTGTTATTAACACAATACTTGGTATCATATCATTTAAATTATAGTGACTTAAGAATCAATGTAAAATACCCCATAAAGTCCATAAACTGCACCATTCACCCATGGATGGATGGATAACCGAATTGGCTTACTGGGCACAGGCCCAGGGACCCAAAGTATCAGGGGGGTCTTCTGGTCTTAATCTGCAAAATATTACTCAAATTTACAAGTACTGACTAGAAAGACTCTTAAAATATACCAGGAAGAGACACAACAAGATGCAAAGAGACATGAAATAACGACAAAAATGGGCTAGAGAGACTCAAAATGACTACAAAGAGACACAAAAACTACCCAAGAAGACACAAAATTACGTCCGAGACACAAAATGATTTCAAAGAGACACAGAACAACTACAAAGAAATGCAAAACAACCACAAGAAGACACAAAATGACAACAAAGCAACACACAACTACCAAAAAAAATACACAAAATTACATCAAAGAGACACAAAATGACTTCAAAGAGACATATAACAATCACAAAATGACAAAAACAACTACAAAGATACATAAAACAACCACGAGGAGACACAAAATGACAACAAAGAGACACAAAATGACTACAAAGAGACATAAAACAATCACAAAATGACAAAAACAACTACAAAGATACATAAAACAACCACGAGGAGACACAAAATGACAACAAAGAGACAAAGCAACTACAAAGAAATGCAAAACAACCACAAGGAGACACAAAATGAAGAAAGCAACAAAGCAACACACAACTACCAAAAAAAATACACAAAATTGCATCAAAGAGACACAAAATGACTTCAAAGAGACATAACAATCACAGTGTGACACAAAATGACAAAAAAGACAAAAAAAAAAAAAACCTCAAAAAGTTGCATAATGACTATATTGAGATACAAAATCACCACAAAGCCTGTGTCCTGCTCCTTGGTTGAAGAGGTGGTAGGGTATTTTGCGGATCATGCATTTATTTTTTTTATAATTTTCTACAAAATATTACAATGTCCCGTAACAATTAAAAAAAATATCCAATAGTCTGTCATTTTGATAATATTTCATACCTATATTTTTCACTATACTTAATATGCTAAAAATCACTTGATATATATTATATCCCCATATGCGTATTTTCTATAGGGATATAATCCAACAGTATATCACTCTATGAAGTCACACAGTAGCTCCTAAAAACAATCCAGCAGGAGGTTAATATGTATTATTAAAACCTGCTGTGTATGGCTGCTCCAAAGAAAGTGAAGTTAAATCATTCAAGTCTGCAGAAAGTCCACTTCTCTTTGTCTTGTATTTCCTTATTTAACTCTTACAGCATGTAAGATTAAAGCCATTTAACTGTTAGGATAAAGGTATAACATGTCTTACCTGATGGAGCTGGATGCCTTCTCTGCGACTCACAAGCTGAGAATGGATGAAAGTATATGTCTTGGCTTATGAGCGGAGCCATGTGCGTGTCGGACACTTAAACACAAACAATGCTGTAAAACCTGAATCTATTGATACAAATGAAAGCGAAACTATATGCTAAGAATAGCGTGGTCAACAAATTTTAATTACTTCACCCAATAAAATTTTAGGTTCTTCCATTTAACACAGAAACATGAAGCTGAAATGTCCCAAAACTTTTCCTTTTTATAAGTGTGATTACAGGACAGTTATAATCATGGCATTGTACTTCCACTGGTCAGCTAAAGAAGTAGTAGATGTAAATGTTTTTTTCAGGAAATAGCTGCTTATCAGAATTATCTTTATTTTATTTAATTTTAACGTGAAGCACCTTGTCTTGTACTTTGACACAGATGTGTCTAGATAATGAGAGCAGCACAATCAAGTCATTCAAGTTTTGTTTACGGCCAACTTTAAAGTTCATCAAAGATTTAATTACATGACAGTCTTTGGCTCTCCCCACTGATACCAGTACCAGTAACAACACGGCAGGGTGTTTCCCAGGATTCAACTCCTGATGACAAGAACTTGACCATAAAAGTCAACAGGATAAAAACATCCATCAAGCTAGGAGGGGTTCGTGTGGTAGAGTTTCTGACATTTGATGACAGTTGAGGCCTTATGAACACAAAACTGCAGCAGCATGAGCCTCTCCGTGAACATTTAGGGACCTTGTCTTGGTATCACTGAAGGAAGACTGATACCAGGGTTGTGCAGTGATGTCTTACTTATATAAGCTGATATTTATATGACAATACAGCGATGAGACTATGTAAAGGAAAAAATTTGGTGATCTATTTTCTAAATCTTAAAGTCTAATTTTTTTTCTTGTGTAAGAACGGGTACAACAAGGCTTTGTCATGATGATTTTTCTAAGCTATTTAATCTTTCTTTCTTGTCACAACTAACTCTAGGGATAACGAATGGGCTATAACAAGATGGCGAACTAGAGAGCCCTCAACAAAAGTGGAATGGATTGAAATTGTAAAAGAAATATATAACATGGAAAAGCTAACTTTCTCCCTGAATCTATGTATGAACAAATTTATTAGTTACAGTGGAGAAAGTGGACATCTCATTTTGATATAGTGGCTCCTACTCAATGACAACATCATTACCCTCTCTTTAACAATGCTATCTATGTGACTCATTGACTGTGTGAAAGTTTTCGATATTGGAAAACTCATGTTGACTTGTGTTCTAGATCTAATTGAAATACATTTCTAGCCAAAAGATGGACATGACAGTAAGGTTACATACCTTGCTAACACACAATATACACCAATCAGCCAAACAAATTGGAATCACTATCAGGTGAAGTGAGTAACATTGATCATCTTGTTACAATGCAATGATTTCCTTGGGAACTTTTGGTCCAGAAATTCATGAGGATGCGACTTGATGTGCTTCATCCACCCAAACAGTTCTACAGATCAAGTTTTGCTCCTTATGGCAGCCGCACTCCCCGATGGCAGTGGCCCCCCAGCAGGAAAATGTCCCATGCCACACTGCAGAAACTGCTCAGGAATGGCCCGTGGAACGTCACAAAAAGCTAAAGGCATCGACCTGGCCTCCAAATTCCCCAGATCCAAATCTGATTGAGCATCCATGGGACGTGCTGGTACCCCAGAGGTATCCGTGATCCATGGTGGGACCTCCCTGGAGTGGACATGTCTCTGACATGTCAAGGAATGGACACAGGACCTCTTGAAGGTGTCCTGTGGTGTCTGGCACCAGGGTGCTGACCTGTCAGTTGTGAGATGGGGTACCAGCACGTCCCAAGGTGCTCAGTCAGACTAGTGTGTGGGGGATTTGTAGGTCAGGTCGACACCTTGAGCTTTTTGTCACGTTCCTCAGACCATACCTGAGCAGTTTTTGTGGAGTGGCATGGTGCATTTTTCTGCTGGGGGGGCACTGCCATGAGGCAGTGCTGTTGCCATGAGGGGGGGGGTTACTTATTCCACAGCAGTGTTTGGGTGGGTGGAGGTCGTCAAGTGCCATCCACATGAATACCATGACCAAAGGTCTTCCAGCAGAACATTGCACTGTAACAATATGATCAATGTTACTCACTTCACCCACCACTGGGTTTTAATATTTTGGCTGATCGGTGTATGTGTCTGTGTTTAGAGTGCATGGAGACGTTTAAACTCACCTGTAAGAAAACATGAATGCTTTTAGTTATGTTTAGAACATGGGGTTATCATGGTGCATGAAGTGATTTTGCCAAGCAGGACGTGCTCCTGGATCAACATCCCACAGTGCATTCCTGGACCAACACTGCAATAAACCAGTCACAGCCCTCTGACATCATCAGTGTGCTGCTCCTGTGTTTCTTTCAAAATTATTTTATCTTTGCCTATTAGCAAACATCCTTGTTACCATTGCCTACCTAGATAGCAAAATAGCTCACTAATATTCTAGTCTATGGGCAACTTTACTCATTAGCATAGCCAACATAGCTAGCAAGCTAACTCTCTAGCCCTAGTAGCTTACATGGTTTTTGTTCAACGTCACTGAGGATCTTGTTCAATTGTAATAACTTGATGGCAACGTTGGTCCTGATGTGTGATGTTAATGCAGATGCATGTCCTGAATGGCAAAAATCATGTCGTTCTTCAGCCTCTTGTGGAAGTGTAAATTAAAAAAAACAAAAAACAAAAAAACATAAAGAATAGGACTTTAATTGTCATTTTTCTTATTTCAGTGCACAAGTGAAAAAGTTAAAACAATTTGGAACAGTAGGTCAGAAAATATCACTTATGACAATATAAAATATACAGTAACTAAGGCCACAGGTTAAAGGTGGGTGGACTTCTTCAACACCCAAATGAAGTGAGCACACAAATCTCTGCAGAACATTTTTGTGAATGAAACTTGCCCACAAACAGACTGCAGCAGTGACAGGTAGCTTTAAATGGTACTTTTAGGGGTGTCAAATACGGAAAAAAGTGTAATTTCACAAACAAGCACATCCTCATGAATGAGTGACATTTATCAGACTGAAACTAGCAAATTACGCGACGTTTTTGCAATTCCACAGAAAAAGTTAGCAATGTGCAGGATAGGAATACAAAAATTAGGATTTCTCTCTTTCCTTCTTTTTTACAGGGAAACTTGAGACCAAAACTAAAATCGTTTAACCCGATACTCAAAGTCAAAATCAAGTCTTGATAAAGTAATTCTATATCTGGAAATGTATAATCAAGCATCACTGTAATTAAACTACAGTGGTTGAAAATGCCCTAACAAAGCTATGGACAGGTCCCTTGCAGAACTGAATCAGTTTTTCCAGCATCGTGTTCTGATACTGGCTCATTGTGTTTTTATCTGAGCCAACTACAGCTCATCACCTTAGAGAAACTTTTAGAAACTGTAAGTATATAATGTATTGATTGTACTGTAAATTTCTGTAAATGTACATGAAAAAGCTGCTGGCTGTGCTGATTAAAGGGATAGTTCAGAATTTTTGAAGTGGCGCTGTATGACACACTTATTCATAGTCACTGTATTACATTCGGGAGATGTCTGTCGGCACACCCCCACTTTGGAGAAGTGTACGCTATATTGGAAAGCCATCCACAGCTTCAAATTCCCACTTACGCTCTTGTCAAAGCCACCAGACTCCAATGACAAAATCAGTCATTTTAGCTCGATGAACACAGGAGCTGCTGGTCTACCACTGCCTCAATCAGCTAGTTCATTTGTGTTGTCGTGTGACTTTGGTGAAATCAGAACTAACCCTTTAAAACACCAAAGTCACACAATAACCCAAACAAAATAACTGACTGAGGCAGTGGTAGACCAGCAGCTCCTCTTAGCTATGTTAAATTAGCCTTCTGTTTTTCTCAATGGAGTCTTGCTTTGAAGTGAGTGATGTAAGGGCTTCAGTTTCCCTTATTATATTGCATTCTGACAGTAGGGCAAAGCAGTGAAAATATTCTATTCTTACATAGCGTACACTTAAACTGATTCATGCTTATGTTTTTAAGTGGGACTTTTTTAGGCAGCTAAAATACATACCTCATACAAAACTTAAAAAATTCTGAACTATCCCTTTAAGACCACATATCTGTCATTCAGAATATGTATGTATGAATATATCTTCTCTAACTTGACCATTTTAGCACAGAAATCTTGTTCAGTAGTAGTTCTGTATTGGTGTAACATGTCAAAGCGTTTTATGTTTCCAAAGACAAGGATTGCAGTTGACTGATATCCTCATTTGCTAATTACATTTTTTGGCAGCCATTTGTGGTTACAGAGGGCCCTCTGTTGGGCTTTTGGATAAACTGCAGCAGGATGTTGCTGAGTAGGAACAATTATTAAATATTTTTTAAACTGTAGACCACACTCCCAAGATTACTTGTGGAGAAATAGAGATGTAAAAGAACTACATGTGTCTCATTTATCCTTGACTGGGTGTTCTTGTTAGCTGCAAATAACTGAGAACCAAATTTAAGGGACTTCACCAAGAACTGGAACAATTATTGTCATAATTATTAAGAAACTGAAACTTGTTCAGCACACTCTGATGCCAGGGGGACACAATTCAAAGTTAAAACATATTTGGCTTTGAATGATTAACATTCACCTGACAGCAGTAAGATCTGAGCTCAATCATACTTTCCTCATAAGATACAACAGACCAATGAGAAGCCACAGAGCTCATTATAGCTGCACGTGGACTTCTGATTGAGTCACCCCACAGTCTTGGGCTGGGACTCCTTGGTACACATAACCACCTTGGGGTTGGTATGGAGGAGCCATCATGACTGCAGGAGGCTGCATTTGTACAATGGTTTGATTCTGCATATTGATGACAGTGGGAGTTTGTCTGCGATGTTTTAACTCTCGATGCATCTGACACCAGGCGCACCACTCACAGCAGCAGGTAGCTATGATGTCCTTACACAGAGAACCCTGCAGAGAACCAAAGAAAACATACACATGTAAAGTTGTACATTCAACATTGCTTCACTTTATTATTAAACTTGTCATGTGAAATCAAGTAGCAGCTTCACATGCATCATACCTTGATGCCGTATCTGTTTCGCATGGCAGCCCTTAGAGAGAGGACTGCAGGAGAAGGCAGGCATGGATAATTCCAACAGCATATGTCACACAACGGGAGACAACGGTTCTCTCCAAATCTTTCTGACACCGTGCAGGCAAGACAAGGGCCGCACCAGAAACCATAGCAACCTAGCAACACAAAGATACACCAACAAAGTGGGAAAAAATCTTAAGTGACTTGATAAAGAAGGCCTTACAGATGACACATAAGAAGGACTTTGATCTGAAAAAGCTAATTTGTCAAACTTGTGGTATTGATTCTTACAAGAACTTGCATCCTCAAAGCAGTCGAAGAGACCAGTGTTCCACTCTATCAAAGGTCTTGTTTCCATTGGATGTTAGACTTCAGCCACAGGCAGCCAACAATGAATCTGTTAACATAGAAATCAGAACACAGCAAAAAGTCAGAAAGTCAAGGTAGGAAGCTCATATATTGGAGCATAAGATTAAATTGAGTGTCTTAATTGTTTAGCTCCACCTCAGCAGGAGCACGTGTCTGAAAATACTGTGATGTGATTGGACACTGGGACTTACTGCCTGAGCTGGCAGGCTGTGTGTGAATTGCAGTGCCTCCAGTAGAGGGTGACAGAGTGCCCTGTTCATTGGTGTTTGGTGGTCAAGCAACAGTTTCTGTGTTGATTTCATACCCAGGATGTGATCAGATAATATATAAAACATATTCTACTACTAACATATTCTTTGCAGACTGATTTGGCAAGATACAACTAAATAAAAGCCTGGAACATTGGATATAAAATTCAAACAGTCCCAAACTGATATCATATGCAAAAAAGCATATACAACCTAAAACAGACTATGCTTCTAAATGATAGCAAGTTGTAACCTAATTGAAAACAATTGTTAAGGTACAAGCACAAGTACAATACTGAGTATTCTATTACATTTTATAAATAATAGTAACTTTAGAATGAATGTAAGATATATTGATGTCACTGTAAACTCCATAAACTGCGGCATTTATCTTAGAAGTCAGAATGTAGTGCTCCAAATTGTTGTTTGCCACTGCAGATAGAATCCAAATTCCTTCGCTAATTTTCTGCAAAATATTAGTGTCTCTAATAAAACGACTGAAATCCCCCAAAAGTTGTCATTTTGATAAATACCACAAAGTATGCTGCCAAATTACATGATAAAAAAAAACAACTAGTAGAGACCATCGTCTGGTGGAATCATTCCAGCCACGACACAGTGTTCTGTGGGCCAGGGGTGTGAAGTGGGGGGAGGGTCCCTACCTCCTACAAATCTACTTCTTGCCCCCCTACTTCCTGCCCCCATGCTCAAACCACATCAATCTTCAAACTACACCTTCATTTTGACCTCACCAACACACTCATAAAGTTTGTGACTGCATCTTGCTCAGTTGTGACACTGTTGCGTTGACAAATTTTGTCCACAGACAGACAGACGTATAAAAAAAGCGCTTGGCAAAATACTTTAAACTACATCTGTGGTAGTTCCCAAAGATTAGATGAAGTCTCCAGGTACGAGCCTAATACTAAGTATTCTACTATATTTTTTCAATTATAGTGACTTTAGAATGGATGTAAAATATATTAATGTCACTGTTAAGTCCATAAAATTTACCATTTACATTAAGTGATAGGAATTATAACACAGTGCATGACATGACAAACAAAATGAAGTAATACTCCAGATTTGAAGATGCTGTTTGCCACTGCAGACATTTCCTACAAATTATTACAGTGTCAATAGAACAAAAAACAAAACGTAACCAAAAAAAACCCCTGACATTTGTTACCTTTTTTTTTTTTTTAAATTTCAGTACACTCACGATAAGAATAACTTCATTACCCTAGGAAGACCTAGGGTGCCTCTGTTTTTGTGGTGAGGTTAGTATTGTCAAAAATTGCTATGGCTTGAAATAGAAGTGGCATCTTGTGTGTGTCAGACAGCTTAACTCAAAAGATGGTGTAAAGAAGTAAATTTAAACATACATGGTTAAAGTGTCCCAAAAAGGAAACTTTCCACTTTTGATTGTGTTTAATCAAAGTACAGTTATCATCAAAGCATAATAATTGTTATTTTACTGGTCAGGTAAAGAAGAGAAATTAAAAAAACAGAATTACCTTTGTTGAGAGATCCAGCTGCATGAAATGGTCAAGGCTCACTGCTTTATGAAGCCTCACTGACAAAAAACCTCGTAAATCTCTGTTCATCGGTCTGCTGTTGTGACTGATACTGACTTGTACCAACCTTTGTATTAGCAGCTGCAGCTCTAACCTGACCACAGCATCCTGTCTCACCCTTCGCAGCACCAGTGTTAGGGATGTGAAACCATTGCTTTTCACAGCTTTAGTGTCTTACAACATCTTGTGTTAGGCTACTTTCAACTGAAGAACACCTACATATTTACAGGTAAATGAAAGTGATGCCATTATTGCTATTGTTATTATTATTATTATTATTATTATTATTATTTACAATTGATATTTCTAATTATCTGATGTGCATAGATAACATTTTAAGCTCCACAATAATCCCGTTTTAATGTGTTATGTATATGTATATAGGGCGGCACGGTGGTGCAGTGGTTTGCACTGATGCCTCACACCAAGGGGGTTCCTGGTTCAATCCCAGTAAGGAGCCCTATTGTGCAGTGTTTGCATGTTCTCCCCATGTCAGCGTGGGTTGTCTTCGGGCATTCCGGCTTCCTCCCACTGTCCAAAGACATGCAGGTTAACTGGTAACTCCAGATTGTCCATAGGTGTGAATGGTTGTCTGTCTCTTTATGTCAGCCCTGTGATTGTCTGGCAACTTGTCCAGGGTCAGGGTGTACCCCGCCTCTCACCCAATGTCAGCAGGGATAGGCTCCAGCACCCCTGCGACCCTCAAGAGGATAAGCAGTTACAAAAATGGATGGATGTATCTGTATATACATGTGTTACACAATTCATTGTTCTTTAATTCAAAATATGCAGGTTGTACTTTTCCTTAAAAAGACAAATGGCTTTAATTTGAAGGAGCACTGAGTAGTAAGTAACAAAAGATTTACTGAAATCAAGCCTACTCAAGTTTAGTACCACCACAAAGAGGCCTCCAAATATTATCAGGGTGGCCATGGTCCCTGTGGCCACCTCTTTGTTGCATCACTTCAACCAACATCAAAGCCTGTTGACCTATATGCTAGATGCATGGCAGTTATGGTTTCATGTTTAACATACCAGTAGACAGGCTGAGCCTCTAACTGATGTTTTGCACGTGCCTTATGTTTGACCATATATGGAGTTTTTCCTGTGCTCCAAGAGAGACACAGAAGGGTGTTGGGCTCTTTGTTTTTGGTTTTGCTTGTTTCACTGCTTTTGTTAGAGGTAATGAGGGAGTATGTTTTTGTTGAATACCATCAAGCTAGTTGAGCATAATTAGAAGCTCTTTTCTTTTACATAGAATTTTAATGTCCATATTATATGATTGTTAAGCTTTAAATAGAAACAGATTATTTACTCTGCAACCAAATTTAAGTTGGTGTTAGTGTCTTCACTGAAAGCCGCCTGTGACAGCCTCACTACTACAGGTAAGAAACTCCTTGGGATGAGCTGATCATTTTCAGTGCAGCTTTTAAATGCTTAATTGCTGAGTTAATACTGAATTGTCAATATGCTACATTGAATACTGTTAGTTTAACAGAGTGATGCTAAATGAACACTTAAAGATTTGAGCAAATTGGATTTATCTATCTTGAATTGAACGTGAGATTTTTTTTTGTACTGACCTAATAGTATAAAGATAATAAGAGGCTGGATGCTGCCTCGTTAAACCAGGTGAGGCTCTTGAACATAGTCTTCCTCTGACGTACCACCAGACTCCCCTAAAACCTGCACAGCACAGACACTCTTTTATCCGGCCCTGTTGCTGTACTGTCACGGGATACTGTGATCTGACAGAAGTGATACGACCAAGNGCTTACCAGTGAGATTATCTGTGAGATATAACGTTATGTTAGGAGTGTTTTATTTCTAATTGTTTTGGTAACACGAGCAAACATTAGCACAGTAATGCTAAAATAACACGTTTTATGTGATAGTCACGGCACAGTGCGGCAAATATAGGTTGGTACGATTATAATATATGCGTCTCCAGAGTGTTCTTCCACAGGAGTTCTTTCCACATGGAATAAGCAACGCCGATATTCACTCGCGTTTTGTCCCGTCCTCGATATCTGATCTTTTTCTTTTAGTTGGTGGCGTGGTTTCCCTCGGGGCAAAACATGTGTGTGGTCCTCCATTTTAAGTGTGACAGAATCATAGAAGTACAAAGCAGGTTCATGCAGAAGCGGCCCGGATTGAGCTTCACCTTAACTGTCTCCAGTGACGGCAAGTTCTAGGTAAACGCGAAAGGCGAAGTGCTTGTATCTCTTTCGGCCACTGTATTTAAATATGGCGACGCAAGAAGGCAGCCTCCAGCAGACTGCGCCTTGCCTGTGTATATAAAGAGAAATCAATCTAAGCCTATGAGAAAGCTGCCATTTGTATGTGAATTGCATTACACTTTAGTAAATATATATTTATGAAAGCAATAGTTGATATTTGCTAATAAACAACCACGTAAATTACACATTGTAACTTTAAGACCCTGAAGTGTAAATTAAATAACAAGCAAAAAGAACAACAACACACTTCTCACAGAAACATAAAGAATAGGACTTTAATTGTCATTTTTCTTATTTCAGTGCACAAGTGAAAAAGTTAAAACAATTTGGAACAGTAGGTCAGAAAATATCNAAGTCTATATTTCTGTCTCATGGCAATCCAGAAAGACAAGGCTACAGGAGGCGCAAATAGGTGAACAATTAGGCTTTTTTCACTATGAAAGAAATTTGTTGCACCTGGCAAGAATGTCCCATAAATAATATGTTTGTAAATGTAGTTCAACAACATAGCTTGCAAACATGCAGCGCTGTAAAATGTTGGCTCTTTTACAAGAAAATCTGATTTGAGGTGAATTTGCAGTTGCCAGAGTGTGACTTTTATGCAGTGAGCTTCCTGTCATCTTGCAGCCTTATTATGTTAGGGACTGTTCTTTACGAATCAGAGGAGGGGGGTGGCTGGGGTGTGACTTCATTTTTTTTTTTTTGACCCTCCTCAAAGATGGTTTATCTCTAGCCACCCTGAGTGACTGGTGGAAAATGCACGACCCTCCATCCACTGTAAATAAGTCGTTAGATCATTAAAACTTCCTACGCTTTGATGTTTGAAAGTTAAAAGTTAAAAGTTGAAGATGAAATCCTCGAGTTGAACAAAGCCTTGGTTGTTCCACTTTCCACATGCACACTAGTTAGTTCGTGCAAATGTTTTTTTCCCCCCCAAATTTTAAATTAGATGTAGAATAAAGTGATTTGAAAATCCAACAATAATTTTTGTTTTTACAGTTTCTGGCAGTGACATGATTTTGGTGATTTTTAAAGAAAGCATTTCTTCTTTTTTAAGTAATCACAAAAATAATACTAAAGCATTTAACTTTGTACACCCTTCTGTGAAGCTTAAAAAAACACAAGTCCCTCCTTAGTGCTTTAAAAAAAAATATTTGACATGCCTCCCCTTTTTTCACCACCCCCTTCCCCCCTAATAAGTAACGGACACTCCCTTAGTACAAAATGTAATCTAGTGACTGTGAGCTCGCATTTTGGCTCCCAGGAGGGAACTTTAGCACGCGACCGCCCGCTTCGCTCCGTATGGCAGCCGCACTCCCCGATGGCAGTGGCCCCCCAGCAGGAAAATGTCCCATGCCACACTGCAGATCCATGGTGGGGGCCTCCCTGGAGTGGACATGTCTCTGACATGTCAAGNCTTAATGTTAAACTGTGTATAGAATACAGAAACCCATCTGATACCTGGGTCATTGATCATTCGCCATCACCAAGAAAGATGTCCGTGCCTGGAAGAGGTATTGGCTAAGAACCTTGACACCTTTGTTATATTTATTTTCTCAATCTAGAGAATCTTAGAAGTCTTGTGCTTTGGCGTAGATGGGACAGCAAAAAAATCAAGTTATTCAAGATTTTGTTTTAGAGTACACCTGAAGGTCAACCAAGGTTTGATTACTTAAAGCTGCTATGTGGGAAACTTTTTACTTGGGCTCTCTCCAGTGATAGCCTCTATAAAGACACAGCACACTGCAGGTATGAACAAAGCAAAGCATGCTGTTGTGATTCATACACTGCTGCTGCAAGCTGTCTTCATACCATTTACACTTGCTTCTGTAGCGGATAATTTTATTCATTTATCCACCATCTGTACATTTATTTTCATTTCAGTTGTCATTTTATTTTACTTATTACTAATAAGATTGTGGAGGAAACTCCACTCCCAGGAAGCAGTGATGAACTGACAGGACAGAGGTGGCTACAGGGTGTTTCCCAGTATTTAACTCCTGATGACAAGAACTTGACTGAAAATATCAACAGGTGAGGATCAAGACATCCATCAAGTTGCATCTGTGTGACCTCGCTTCTGACATTTGATGCGTTAAAAACACAAAACTGTTCTCCTGTGATGCTGCAGTAACATGAGGCTCACATGTGTGAATATCTTAGCACCTCTTACTATAACTAATGAGAGAGTGATACCAGGTTTGTGCAAAGCAATGTGTTACTTACTACTACTACTGCTACTACTACTATTAATAATAATAATGATCATTTATTTTTCACAATTTTCATTTGATTGTTATTTCACCCACATCAACACATAGACACAAACTAGTTTCTCTCAGGAGCAAATGACATGCTGATTGTCTCGTTTTTATACAAACAAACCCTTTGCCATGAAAATAATTTAGAAGTCACAAAACACATAAAAATTCCACAAATAAAATAATTTTATGGGACAGTTTTTTTGTGTGTGTAATTTTAATGTGATTTTTCCTGCAAATAACAACAAAAAAAGAATTAAAATTTACACATAGTTACACAAATCTACTTGGGTTTTAAAAATCCTTCACAAAGCTGTGGAGTAAATGTTTTTAATTAAACATAACTCCTTCAATATACATGTGAAGCTAAAGCAGCAACAGTTCAGGACAAGTACATGTTCAGGAAACATCTGCTCTCATTTGTGAATTTTCTCCTGATTTTGACAGTAGTTCACTTTTACTAAGTAAGATAAATCCCTGGCCATTAAAAAGAGAGAGTTACCAACCACCACCATAGAACTGTCATGATTAACATTGTTATATTATTAGACTGACATCTACCCAGCATGCAGATGCTGAGGAGACACCACTTAAAATAATTACATCTTTGTATATCACTGCTTAGAAAAAAGGTCCAAACAAGGACTGTATCCTGCTAACCAACACCTAACCAACAGTGTTTAGAAATCACAAAGCTCAGTCTGAATTAACCATTAATAACCCCTGGGTAGCCCCTAAAACCAGGAGGAGCTGGGTTTCCAGGATACATCCCAGGAGCGAAAATGACTGGAGGAGGCTGCATGTTGACAATGACAGCTGGTTGTTTCATGCGGTATTTCATCTCGCGATGCATCAGACACCAGGAGCACCACATACAGAAACAGGAAGTTGCGACGTCTTTACAGATAGAACCCTGTGGAGAACAAAGATATTCGTTATACTGTTTTTACTGTGTTTCTCAGTTATTATTTAATGTCTTACATCAATCATATGTTTAGTTTTAATATGACATGATGTCTTCCTGAACCTCAAGACTGTCTGTTATTCAAAGTGTGTCCTGTAATTTGACTATATAAGGTATATAAATATATATCTTTTTTCTGTATAAGTACATTAGATAATAAGTAATCAGTGTACATCAGTTTTACACGTCTTACCTGGATACCATATTTGTGTCGAATCCAGTGTTTCCTCATGGGGGCCTACCACACTGAGAGTTGTTCCTGGTCTCCCGATGGGGGTGCCGTCAGGAGACCGCTCTGACCTGGGTGGCTGAAGGGCACTGCACCTCGGGNAAGTTTAGACTAGGTTATTAAAAAGTAGGGGAAATGTGTCGTTCTCAGGTCTTTGCAACTGCAAAATTACATCATCCTTACTTTGACTGTTAATGACCAATATCTTAATCTACTGGCAAACTTCCTTGTTAGCATAGCCTACCTAGTGAGCAAGCTAGCTCACTAGCCCTGCAGTAGCTTACATGGTTTTTGTTCAACTTCACTGAGGATTTTGTTCAATTGTAATAACTTGATGGCAATGTTGGTCCTGGAATGCGATGTGTGATGTTAATGCAGAAGCATGTCCTGAATGGCAAAAATCATGTCGTTCTTCAGCCTCTTGTGGCCAAAAATCGGTATTACAACAACAAACACCCTTGAAACACAAATGATCCTGTCAGATGTTTTTTACCTGCCAAAACATTTTCACAAAACCTATTTTTCCCCGTTTTTAGGTCATAAACACATGAGAGAAAACATTTTGCAACAGAAATGGTATGGATCACCAGAGTTTTTTTCTTCACTTGCCTCACAGGGCTGCTATAGGAATGACTTAAGACCCTGAAGTGTAAATTAAAAAACAAACAAACAAAAAAAACACACTTCTCACAGAAACATAAAGAATAGGACTTTAATTGTCATTTTTCTTATTTCAGTGCACAAGTGAAAAAGTTAAAACAATTTGGAACAGTAGCTCAGAAAATATCACTTATGACAATATAAAATATACAGTAACTAAGGCCACAGGTTAAAGGTGGGTGGACTTCTTCAACACCCAAATGAAGTGAGCACACAAATCTCTGCAGAACATTTTTGTGAATGAAACTTGCCCACAAACAGACTGCAGCAGTGACAGGTAGCTTTAAATGGTACTTTTAGGGGTGTCAAATACTAGTAATTTTTAATTACTAGTAATTTCACAAACAAGCACATCCTCATGAATGAGTGACATTTATCAGACTGAAACAAGCAAATTACGAGACGTTTTTGTAATTCCACAGAAAAAGTTAGCAAAGTGCAGGATAGGAATACAAAAATTAGGATTTCTCTCTATTTTTCTTTTTTACAGGGAAACTTGAGACCAAAACTAAAATCATTTGCCTGATAAAAATTAAGTCTTGATAAAGTAATTCTATATCTATTAATGTATTATCAAGCATCACTGTAATTAAACTACAGTGGTTGAAAATGCCCTAACAAAGCTACGGACAGGTCCCTTGCAGAACAGTTTTTCCAGCATCATGTTCTGTTACTGGCTCATTGTGTTTTTATCTGAGCCAACTACAGCTCATCACTTTAGAGGGATATTCAGTGCACTTCATGTTCTGTGTATAAGAGTTGCTGGTTTTGAACGTTGTGTGCATGAGTCAATCAAATTTAGCTAGCTTTTAGAAACTGTAAGTATATAATGTATTGATTGTACTGTAAATTTCTCTAAATGTACATGAAAAAGCTGCTGGCTGTGCTGATTAAAGGGATAGTTCAGAATTTTTGAAGTGGCGTTGTATGATGCACTTATCCATCGTCACTGTATTACATTCGGTAGATGTCTGTCGGCACACCCCCACTTTGGAGAAGTGTACGCTATATTGGAAAGCCATCCACAGCTTCAAATTCCCACTTACGCTCTTGTCAAAGCCACCAGACTCCAATGACAAAATCAGTCNGCGTTTTGGCTCCCAGGAGGGCACTTTAGTGCGTGTTTTGGCTCCCAGGAGGGCACTTTAGCACGTGTTTTGGCTCCCAAGAAGGCACTTTAGCGTGCGTTTTGGCTCTTAGGAGGACACTTTAGCACGCCTTTTGGCTCTCAAGAGGGCACTTTAGCACAGGCATGGTGCATTTTTCTGCTGGGGGGGCACTGCCATGAGGCAGTGCTGTTGCCATGAGGGGGGGGGTTACTTATTCCACAGCAGTGTTTGGGTGGGTGGAGGGCTTCAAGTGGCATCCACATGAATACCATGACCAAAGGTCTCCCAGCAGAACATTGCACTGTAAAAATATGATCAATGTTACTCACTTCACCCACCACTGGATTTTAATATTTTAGCTGTATGTATCTGTGTTTAGAGTGCATGGAGACGTTTAAACTCACCTGTAAGAAAACATGAATGCTTTTAGTTATGTTTAGAACAAGAGATAATGGTGCTGCATGACTTGATTTTGCCAAGCAGTAGCTACATGCCTCTGGATCAACATCCCACAGTGCATTCCTGGACCAACACTGCAATAAACCAATCACAGCCCTCTGACATCATCAGTGTGCTGCTCTTTCGAAAATCCTTTGTGCTTCTTCAGAGCTAAGCTAGTTTAAAAAAAAATCAAAATTAGTAAAATTAAACAAAATCCTCAGTAACGGTGGACAAAAACCTTGTAAGCTACTGCAGGGTTAGCAAGTTAGCTTGCTAAGTAGGTAGGCTATGCTAACAAGTAGCTTGCCAATAGGTAGAAAATTGTTAACACAAAATGATGAAAATAGCATTTTTCAGTTGCAAATTCCTGCAATTAAAACATTTTCACTTTTTGCTCTCCATATTGATCCTGGATAGATTTGGTAAGGTTTATCCAGGACCATCATCATCATAATGCCAATTCTGGATAATTTATTAATGTTGACATCAACGTAACAGTGATGGTCCTGGATCAACACAAGCACTCGAATCGTGCAAGAAAAAAACAAGTTTAGACTAGGTTATTAAAAAGTAGGAGAAATGTGTCGTTCTCAGGTCTTTGCAACTGCAAAATTACATCATCCTTACTTTGACTGTTAATGACCAATATCTTAATCTACTGGCAAACTTCCNCAATGAGAAGCCACAGAGCTCATTATAGCTGCACGTGGACTTCTGATTGAGTCACCCCACAGTCTTGGGCTGGGACTCCTTGGTACACATAACCACCTTGGGGTTGGTATGGAGGAGCCATCATGACTGCAGGAGGCTGCATTTGTACAATGGTTTGATTCTGCATATTGATGACAGTGGGAGTTTGTCTGCGATGTTTTAACTCTCGATGCATCTGACACCAGGCGCACCACTCACAGCAGCAGGAAGCTATGATGTCCTTACACAGAGAACCCTGCAGAGAACCAAAGAAAACATACACATGTAAAGTTGTACATTCAACATTGCTTCACTTTATTATTAAACTTGTCATGTGAAATCAAGTAGCAGCTTCACATGCATCATACCTTGATGCCGTATCTGTTTCGCATGGCAGCCCTTAGAGAGAGGACTGCAGGAGAAGGCAGGCATGGAGATTTCCCACAGCATATGTCAAACAACGGGAGACAACGGTTCTCTCCAAATCTTTCTGACACCGTGCAGGCAAGACAAGGGCCGCACCAGAAACCATAGCAACCTAAAAAACACAAAGATACACCAACAAAGTGGGAGAAAATCTTCTTTTTAATTTTTTTTTTATTAATTTCTTTATTGAGGATATTACAGGTATTATAGACATTTTCAAACTATTCATACTTCCCTGTCTCAACATCTTTCCACAAAAAAAAACAAAAAACTAGTCATATACATCACAGAAAGAATTCACATATAATGCAGTACCTCCCCTCATTAACCTGTTCCAACCCCCCATCCCACCCCACAAGAACCGACCCCCCCCCCACCCCCCAATGCGAACTGAATGTAGCTCCTGATTCCTTGTCTCTAAACAGAAAACTCTCTGTATTAAAGAGCAAATAAAGCTATAAACAAAAAGTTAACCAGAGAGAAATATAAATAAATAAACAAATACATAAATAAATGTAAAACAAAAGGAAAAAAAAAAGATAAGTGTTCAGTTAGGTGGTAAGACTTTAAGTGAGTTGACATATGTAATAAAGGGCTGCCATTTCCCATAGAATTTTTCAGAGTCACCTTTAAGTTCATCTCTGATTTTTTCCAATTTTAGGAAAAACATGACATCCTGAAGCCATTGAGAGATCGAAGGGGCGCAATCTGATTTCCACTGGAGAAGAAGATGGCGGCGTGCTAATAAAGATGTAAAAGCTAAGAAGTCTAACTGTTTAGAGGTGTACAGACCATGGTTCTGAGGGCCTCCAAATATCGCAATGAAAGGGCATTGCTTAATTTCAATACTAAGTATTTTAGACATAGTCTCAAAATATTCCTGCCAAAAATTGTGTAACTTTGAGCAAGAATAGAACATGTGACTTAAATTGCATGGAGATTGATGACACCTGTCGCACCTATCTTCCACTCCTGGAAATATTTCAGATAAACGAGCTTTAGAGAAATGGACCCTATGGAGGACTTTGAACTGTATTAGTCCAAGTTGGGCACAGAAAGAGCTCGTGTGGGTCCTTTTAATGGCCCTTTCCCACCCTTCCTCTGTGAATGTTATGCCCAATTCCTGCTCCCATGCCACCTTTGTTTTGGACACGGTACAGTCATTCAGTGATAAGAGCTGAGCATAGATTTTTGAAATCAGTGATTTTCCTTTAGGGTTTAGCTCAAGAAGATCATCCTAGGGATATTTAGGGGGCATCAGGGGGTAGTTTGGGAAAAGAGAAGTAGCACAGTGTCGGATCTGAAAGTAGCGAAATAGATGGGTTGTTGGTAATCCAAATTGAGCACAGAGCTCTGTATAACTGCAGAAGCCATTGTCTTTATACAGATCTTGAAAGCACTGTATGCCTCTGTTGTACCATTGCAGAAAAGTAGCATCTGTACTTGAAGGAGGAAATAAATGGTTTCTCAGTAAAGGTGTTCTAGAGGAAGCTGACAGAAATTTGAAATGGCGTCTGAATTGATACCAAATCCTAAGGGTGGATCGCACTATTGGATTGTCAGTAAAGCCAGAGGGGTTGAGCGGTAAACGGGATGTAAGTAGAGCCTTGAGAGAGGATCGATTGCACGATTGTGCCTCAAGTCAACACCATGAAGTGTCTGCACAGTTAAGCCAATAAGTTATCTTCTGAATATGTCATGACCAGTTATATAATTGAAAATTAGGCAATGCTAGACCACCGTTGAATTTACAATTTTGTAATAGAGATTTACGAATCCTAGGAGCTTTATTGTTCCATAAGAATCCTGAAATANTCTTAATTTCAATACTAAGTATTTTAGACATAGTCTCAAAATATTCCTGCCAAAAATTGTGTAACTTTGAGCAAGAATAGAACATGTGACTTAAATTGCATGGAGATTGATGACACCTGTCTCACCTATCTTCCACTCCTGGATATATTTCAGATAAACGAGTTTTAGAGAAATGGACCCTATGGAGGACTTTGAACTGTATTAGTCCAAGTCGGGCACAGAAAGAGCTTGTGTGGGTCCTTTTAATGGCCCTTTCCCACCCTTCCTCTGTGAATGTTATGCCCAATACCTGCTTCCATGCCACCTTTGTCTTGGACACGGTACACACATTCAGTGATAAGAGCTGAGCATAGATTTTTGAAATCAGTGATTTTTCTTTAGGGTTTAGCTCAAGAAGATCATCCCAGGGATATTTGGGGGGCATCAGGGGGTAGTTTGGGAAAAGAGAAGTAGCACAGTGTCGGATCTGAAAGTAGCAAAATAGATGGGTTGTTGGTAATCCATATTGAGCACAGAGCTCTGTATAACTGCAGAAGCCATTGTCTTTGTACAGATCTTGAAAGCACTGTATGCCTCTGTTGTACCAGTGCAGAAAAGTAGCATCTGTACTTGAAGGAGGAAATAAATGGTTTCTCAGTAAAGGTGTTCTAGAGGAAGCTGACAGAAATTTGAAATGGCATCTGAATTGATACCAAATCCTAAGGGTGGATCGCACTACTGGATTATCAGTAAAGCCAGAGGGGTTGAGCGGTAAACGGGATGTAAGTAGAGCTTTGAGAGAGGATCGATTGCACGATTGTGCCTCAAGTCGACACCATGAAGTATCTGCACAGTTAAGCCAATAAGTTATCTTCTGAATATGTGATGACCAGTAATATAATTGAAAATTAGGCAATGCTAGACCACCGTTGAATTTACAATTTTGTAATAGTGATTTACGAATCCTAGGAGCTTTATTGTTCCATAAGAATCCTGAAATAGCCTCATCAATAGTTTTAAAGAATTTCTTTGGTAAGAACAGCGGAATACATTGAAACAAAAAAAGGAATTTAGGCAAGATATTCATTTTCACAACACTAATTCTTCCAATCAGTGTCAGTGGTAAGCTACTCCAGTGCTGGACATCAGCTTTAACCTGTGTAATCAAAGGGGAGAAGTTTGCAGAGAAAAGAGAGGGCATTGTTCGTGTTATGTTGATCCCTAAGTATCTGAACCCCACAGGGTTAATTTTGAAGAGAATGTCAAATTGCTGAAGTTGGAGTGCAAGGTTATTTATTGGATAGCAAATACTTTTTAGTGGATTAACTTTAGAACCAGAGAATAAGCCGAAACGTTCCAAAATCGACTGTATTAAGGGAATGCTTTTGGTTGGGTCCGATATATATAGTAACAGGTCATCAGCGAATAATGACAATTTAAATTCTCTGTTCCCCCGGGTTACTCCCTTAAACAGGGAGGATGACCTCAGTGCGATCGACAAAGGTTCTATCACTAATGCGAATAATAGTGGGGACAAAGGGCACCCCTGTCTGGTCCCATGTGTCAATGGGAAGTAATCAGATCGGATATCATTTGTGTGGATGCTGGCTTGTGGAGACGAGTAGAGAAGGCGAATCCAAGATATAAATGTATCTCCAAACCCGAATTTCTTTAGTACGGCAAAGAGGTACCCCCACTCCACTCGATCGAAGGCCTTCTCTGCGTCTAAAGAAATGACCACTTCTGGAGTTACCGTAGATTGTTTAGAATGGAGTATGTTTAACAGTGTGCGTACATTAAAAAAAAAACTGTCGTTCCTTAATAAAACCTGTTTGTTCCTCAGATATTAAGGTTGGGAGGAACTTTTCAGTGGGAGAAAATCTTAAGTGACTTGATAAAGAAGGCCTTACAGATGACACATAAGAAGGACTTTGATCTGAAAAAGCTAATTTGTCAAACTTGTGGTATTGATTCTTACAAGAACTTGCATCCTCAAAGCAGTCGAAGAGACCAGTGTTCCACTCTATCAAAGGTCTTGTTTCCATTGGATGTTAGACTTCAGCCACAGGCAGCCAACAATGAATCTGTTAACATAGAAATTAGAACACAGCAAAAAGTCAGAAAGTCAAGGTAGGAAGCTCATATATTGGAGCATAAGATTAAATTGAGTGTCTTAATTGTTTAGCTCCACCTCAGCAGGAGCACGTGTCTGAAAATACTGTGATGTGATTGGACACTGGGACTTACTGCCTGAGCTGGCAGGCTGTGTGTGAATTGCAGTGCCTCCAGTAGAGGGTGACAGAGTGCCCTGTTCATTGGTGTTTGGTGGTCAAGCAACAGTTTCTGTGTTGATTTCATACCCAGGATGTGATCAGATAATATATAAAACATATTCTACTACTAACATATTCTTTGCAGACTGATTTGGCAAGATACAACTAAATAAAAGCCTGGAACATTGGATATAAAATTCAAACAGTCCCAAACTGATATCATATGCAAAAAAGCATATACAACCTAAAACAGACTATGCTTCTAAATGATAGCAAGTGGTAACCTAATTGAAAACAATTGTTAAGGTACAAGCACAAGTACAATACTGAGTATTCTATTACATTTTATAAATAATAGTAACTTTAGAATGAATGTAAGATATATTGATGTCACTGTAAACTCCATAAACTGCGGCATTTATCTTAGACGTCAGAATGTAGTGCTCCAAATTGTTGTTTGCCACTGCAGATAGAATACAAATTCCTTCGCTAATTTTCTGCAAAATATTACAGTGTCTCTAATAAAACGACTGAAATCCCCCAAAAGTTGTCATTTTGATAAATACCACAAAGTATGCTGCCAAATTACATGATAAAAAAAACAACTAGTAGAGACCATCGTCTGGTGGAATCATTCCAGCCACGACACAGTGTTCTGTGGGCCAGGGGTGTAAAGTGGGGGGAGGGTCCCTACCTCCTACAAATCTACTTCTTGCCCCCATGCTCAAACCACATCAATCTTCAAACTACACCTTCATTTTGACCTCACCAACACACTTATGAAGTTTGTGACTGCATCTTGCTCAGTTGTGACACTGTTGCGTTGACAAATTTTGTCCACAGACAGACAGACGTATAAAAAAAGCGCTTGGCAAAATACTTTAAACTACATCTGTGGTAGTTCCCAAAGATTAGATGAAGTCTCCAGGTACGAGCCTAATACTAAGTATTCTACTATATTTTTTCAATTATAGTGACTTTAGAATGGATGTAAAATATATTAATGTCACTGTTAAGTCCATAAAATTTACCATTTACATTAAGTGATAGGAATTATAACACAGTGCATGACATGACAAACAAAATGAAGTAATACTCCAGATTTGAAGATGCTGTTTGCCACTGCAGACATTTCCTACAAATTATTACAGTGTCAATAGAACAAAAAACAAAACGTAACAAAAAAAACCCTGACATTTGTTACCTTTTTTTTTTTTTTTTAAATTTCAGTACACTCACGATAAGAATAACTTCATTACCCTAGGAAGACCTAGGGTGCCTCTGTTTTTGTGGTGAGGTTAGTATTGTCAAAAATTGCTATGGCTTGAAATAGAAGTGGCATCTTGTGTGTGTCAGACAGCTTAACTCAAAAGATGGTGTAAAGAAGTAAATTTAAACATACATGGTTAAAGTGTCCCAAAAAGGAAACTTTCCACTTTTGATTGTGTTTAATCAAAGTACAGTTATCATCAAAGCATAATAATTGTTATTTTACTGGTCAGGTAAAGAAGAGAAATTAAAAAAACAGAATTACCTTTGTTGAGAGATCCAGCTGCATGAAATGGTCAAGGCTCACTGCTTTATGAAGCCTCACTGACAAAAAACCTCGTAAATCTCTGTTCAGCGGTCTGCTGTTGTGACTGATACTGACTTGTACCAACCTTTGTATTAGCAGCTGCAGCTCTAACCTGACCACAGCATCCTGTCTCACCCTTCGCAGCACCAGTGTTAGGGATGTGAAACCATTGCTTTTCACAGCTTTAGTGTCTTACAACATCCTGTGTTAGGCTACTTTCAACTGAAGAACACCTACATATTTACAGGTAAATGAAAGTGATGCCATTATTGCTATTGTTATTATTATTATTATTATTATTATTATTATTTACAATTGATATTTCTAATTATCTGATGTGCATAGATAACATTTTAAGCTCCACAATAATCCCGTTTTAATGTGTTATGTATATGTATATAGGGCGGCACGGTGGTGCAGTGGTTTGCACTGATGCCTCACACCAAGGGGGTTCCTGGTTCAATCCCAGTAAGGAGCCCTATTGTGCAGTGTTTGCATGTTCTCCCCATGTCAGCGTGGGTTGTCTCCGGGTACTCCGGCTTCCTCCCACTGTCCAAAGACATGCAGGTTAACTGGTAACTCCAGATTGTCCATAGGTGTGAATGGTTGTCTGTCTCTGTATGTCAGCCCTGTGATAGTCTGGCAACTTGTCCAGGGTCAGGGTGTACCCCGCCTCTCACCCAATGTCAGCAGGGATAGGCTCCAGCACCCCTGCGACCCTCAAGAGGATAAGCAGTTACAAAAATGGATGGATGTATCTGTATATACATGTGTTACACAATTCATTGTTCTTTAATTCAAACTATGCAGGTTGTCATTTTCCTTAAAAAGACAAATGGCTTTAATTTGAAGGAGCACTGAGTAGTAAGTAACAAAAGATTTACTGAAATCAAGCCTACTCAAGTTTAGTACCACCACAAAGAGGCCTCCAAATATTATCAGGGTGGCCATGGTCCCTGTGGCTTCACTCTGTTGTGGCCAAAAATCGGTATTACAACAACAAACACCCTTGAAACACAAATGATCCTGACAGATGTTTTTTACCTGCCACAACATTTTTGCAAAACCTATTTTCCCCCGTTTTTAGGTCATAAACACATGAGAGAAAACATTTTGCAACAGAAATGGTATGGATCACCAGAATTTTTTTCTTCACTTGCCTCACAGGGCTGCTATAGGAATGACTTAAAGCCTAAGTGTGTAAAAATGGTGAGTAACAGTGACATCAGCGGTCAAATTCTAGATTGCAGCGCTCACTCACGCTCACTTGCTCACCCCTCCCCGTTGGGTAAGTTATGGTGGCCTCGTAGGACAGAAAGCCTTGCGCAGACAGAGATGGCATCATCCGAGAGTTTTTCAAGTTTTTCAGGAGTAGGCCTATCTAGCGATAAGGTGAATATTTATTTAGGAATCTAAACCATGTTACGATATTGTAGCGACCCTGCAGTAAATGTTCTGTTATAATGTCAATGTTCTGTGAGTTAATGGCATGTTTGGGATTGAATGAGTATAGGTAGGGGGATGGGGTGCGAGTGTGACGGGAATGAGGGCTGTGTGAGTGCGCGTGCTGGTGTGTGTATGAGCGAGCTGGAGGAGAGAGCAGGAGTGCACAGTTGGAGTTACAGCTAAGTTCTTGTTTGTTGGTTGTTTTGGCGTAGTTACAGCCAACAGTAACCTGTACTGTTCAGTAATAAACAGTGGTTTGCCGAATAACTGCGTCATCCTTTCCACACGTCCTGGCGGATGCTACAATATGTTATAGCTTACCAGTGAGATTATCTGTGAGATATAACGTTATGTTAGGAGTGTTTTATTTCTAATTGTTTTGGTAACACGAGCAAACATTAGCACAGTAATGCTAAAATAACACATTTATGTGATAGTCATGGCACAGTGCGGCAAATATAGGTTGGTACGATTATAATATATGCGTCTCCAGAGTGTTCTTCCACAGGAGTTCTTTCCACATGGAATAAGCAACGCCGATATTCACTCGCGTTTTGTCCCGTCCTCGATATCTGATCTTTTTCTTTTAGTTGGTGGCGTGGTTTCCCTCGGGGCAAAACATGTGTGTGGTCCTCCATTTTAAGTGTGACAGAATCATAGAAGTACAAAGCAGGTTCATGCAGAAGCGGCCCGGATTGAGCTTCACCTTAACTGTCTCCAGTGACGGCAAGTTCTAGGTAAACGCGAAAGGCGAAGTGCATGTATCTCTTTCGGCCACTGTATTTAAATATGGCGACGCAAGAAGGCAGCCTCCAGCAGACTGCGCCTTGCCTGTGTATATAAAGAGAAATCAATCTAAGCCTATGAGAAAGCTGCCATTTGTATGTGAATTGCATTACACTTTAGTAAATATATATTTATGAAAGCAATAGTTGATATTTGCTAATAAACAACCACGTAAATTACACATTGTAACTTTAAGACCCTGAAGTGTAAATTAAACAACAAGCAAAAAGAACAACAACACACTTCTCACAGAAACATAAAGAATAGGACTTTAATTGTCATTTTTCTTATTTCAGTGCACAAGTGAAAAAGTTAAAACAATTTGGAACAGTAGGTCAGAAAATATCACTTATGACAATATAAAATATACAGTAACTAAGGCCACAGGTTAAAGGTGGGTGGACTTCTTCAACACCCAAATGAAGTGAGCACACAAATCTCTGCAGAACATTTTTGTGAATGAAACTTGCCCACAAACAGACTGCAGCAGTGACAGGTAGCTTTAAATGGTACTTTTAGGGGTGTCAAATACGGAAAAAAGTGTAATTTCACAAACAAGCACATCCTCATGAATGAGTGACATTTATCAGACTGAAACTAGCAAATTACGCGACGTTTTTGCACTTCCACAGAAAAAGTTAGCAAAGTGCAGGATAGGAATACAAAAATTAGGATTTCTCTCTTTCCTTCTTTTTTACAGGGAAACTTGAGACCAAAACTAAAATCGTTTAACCCGATACTCAAAGTCAAAATCAAGTCTTGATAAAGTAATTCTATATCTGGAAATGTATAATCAAGCATCACTGTAATTAAACTACAGTGGTTGAAAATGCCCTAACAAAGCTACGGACAGGTCCCTTGCAGAACTGAATCAGTTTTTCCAGCATCGTGTTCTGATACTGGCTCATTGTGTTTTTATCTGAGCCAACTACAGCTCATCACCTTAGAGAAACTTTTAGAAACTGTAAGTATATAATGTATTGACTGTACTGTAAATTTCTGT